TTCTAAATCAGCAAACCTGGAACATAGTAAGTGCAAAAAATGCACATGGTTTTATTTTATTATTTAATTTATTTATTAATGCACATGGTTTTAGTTGTTGAAATTTAAGCATTTGAAAGTTAGTATATCCATGACTTACAAATTTACCTTTCACTGCATTATTAAGGCAAAAGGACTTTATCCGGAGAATAAAAACTCCTGCATGATTTGATTTTCACTGTGAATTTGGGATTACAATCTACTGACACATTTCTGTTCTCATTAAAAAATTATTTATATTCTGCCTTGTTCCTACAAATATTAAGGCACTTTACAAAAATGTGTAAATATGGCAAGATAAAATAAACAATGAATGGAGCCAGGAGTGAGGTTAGGACACATATCACACATATTGTGAAGTCCTAGTCACATTATAAGGATTGTATCCTCCCACTACAAAATCTGTGATCCTGTCTATATCTTTAGCTGTGGTTTCCTTCCTTTTTAAAATGTAGATCCTTCCTTTGGTGAAAGATCAACCCACCACACATGTTCCTATTTCACTTTATCCAGAACTTGGTTCTGCCAAGTTCTGTACTTTTGGATTTCCCACTTCAGAAATGTCTCTCTTTATTCTTCCCATTTCAGTAGACAGCATCACCAACATACAGTTGTTCAAGGCAGAACCTAAAGATAATTTTTGATACCTCCTTCTCTCCTATTCCCCCCCTCCCCATGTCTAAAACATAATCAAGTCTTAGTTGCCCTACTCCCCTTCCTCCTTCTTCTCTCCCTCCCCCACTACCCCCTCTTTCTTCAATTGCACCCTTCAGCATTTCATGTAATACTAGTTTGGTGGTGATGAACTCCTTTAGCTTTTTCTTGTCTGTGAAGCTCTTTTTCTGACTTTCAATTCTAAATGTTAGCTTTGCTGGGTAATTTTGGTTGTAGGTCCTTGCTATTCATCTCTTTGAATATTTCTAGCCACTCCCTTCTGGTCTGCAAAGTTTCTGTTAAAAATCCACTGACAGTCATATTGGTGCTCCCTTGTAGGTAACTAATTGCTTTTCTTTTGCTACTTTTAAGATTCTCTCTTTGTCTTTAACCTTTGCCATTTTAACTATGACATGTCTTGGTGTGGGCCTCTTTGGCTTTATCTTGTTTGGGACTCTGCACTCTGGACTTGTAAGTCAATTTCTTTCACCAGGTTGGGGAAGTTTTCTGTCAGTATTTCTTCAAATAGATTTTCACTATCTTGCTCTTTCTCTTCTCCTTTTGGCACCCCCATGATGCAAATGTCGGTACACTTGAAGTTGACCCAGAGGCTCTTTACACTGTCTTCATAGTTTTGGATTCTTTTTTTCCTTTTGCTCTTCTGATTGGGTGTTTTTGCTTCCTCATATTCCAAATTGCTGATTTGATTCACATCCTGTACTCTACTGTTTTTCCCTGTAAATTATTCTTTATTTCAGTTAGTATATTCTTTATTTCTGACTGGTCCTTTTCCATGTCTTTGATGTTCTCATTAAGATCTTTGAAATTCTCACTAACTCCCTTGAAGTTCTCAGTAAGATCCTTGAGCATTCATATAACCATTGTTTTGAACTCTGTGTGTGATAGTGTGCTTGCTTCCATTTCATTTTGTTCTTTTTCTGGAGATTTATCCTGTTCTTTCATTTGTGACATGTTTATTTGTCTCTGCATTTTGACTGCTTCCCTGTGTTTGTTTCTATGTATTAGGTAGAGCTGCTATGTCTCCTGGAATTGGTCTTACGTAGTAAGTGTCCTGTAGAGCCTGGTTGCTTAGCATCCCCAGTGACCTGAGCTGGGCACTCTTAAGTGCACCCCTTTGTGGGCTGTGTGCCCTGTGTTGTAGTTGAGCCTTGATTGCTGTTGGTATCACTGGGAGGAATTGACCCCCAGGCCAGTTGGCTGTGAGGACCAGCTGTGACTACAGCAGAAGAGCTGCTGTGCAGAAGACACCCCTATTGAAGCAGGACTTGCATCAGTGGGGCTTTGGTGTTCACTGAGTCTGCCCCTTGGGTGTGTCACTCATGGATGTGTAAGTTGTATTCTGGCTTGGTCTAAAGCTGTCCACTGGGTGCACTGGCTCTGGGGCCTCCTGTGAGGTGCAAAGTCATCCACTGTCTATGCTCTGCCTGGGGCCACTTTGTGATATAAGTTTCTCATAATATTTAGCTGCAGTATTCCTTTTTAGTTATGTTTCTTTTGCAATTTTTCCCCTCTTTTTCTCATTGCTGTATTTGAGTTTCAGGCAGACATTTTTTGGAAGTCAACCATTAAACACAATTAAGACAAAATGAGATAGATCTGTAAAAACTGATACAGAAAGATATCTATGAGTAGTATGTTAGGTAACTTTCTGTTGCTACTGTAGCAAATTGCTACACGCTTAGTGGCTTGAAATAACACAGTTATTATCTTACATCTCTTTAGGTTAAAGTTCAACAATTTTCTCAGGGCTGAAACCAAGGTGTCAGCAGGGCTGCATTCAGTTCCGGAGGCTCTGAGAGATGACCTCCTTCCTTGCCTTTTAGCTTCTAGAGGCCACTGTTTATGTCCCGCCCAATCTTGAAAACCATCTACGTAGCATCTCTCTCACCTGCTGCCATCATCACATCTTTCTCTCTCTGCTTCTCCCTCCCTCTTCCACTTTTAAGGACTCTTGTAATTACATCGGGTCTGCCTGGATAACCGGATAGGCTCCCTGTCTTAAAGTCAGCTGACTAGCAACCTTGATTTCCTTTTGTCAAGTAACCTAACATATTCACAACTTGTGGGTAATAGGACAAGGACATCTTTGGGACCATTGTGCCTACCATGGATAGTCAGTAACAAAAGAAAGTTGTAACACAGTTTGTAGCATTTTAATTTCATTTGGATTTGAAAAAATGAGTGAGTGGTGGTGAGAAACCATATGGTGTAAGGTGAAAACCCCTTTTAAAAGGCTCTATATTTAAAAATAGAGCACTGAAAGAGAGTTTACTGTTTTATTCACTTTACCAAAACATTCTCAACATTTTGAATGTCAGGCATTAGGACAAAATTCAGTTTACATATAGTTAATTAGTTGTAAAGTGTGCTCCTGTGCTTCCACACCTTCCCAGCAGTTTCTGCTGGGTATGGTTTAACTTTAATCAAGGGAACATTACTTCTCATATATATATATATATATATATATATATATATATATATATATATATATATTATATATATATATATATAATATATGTATATCTTTATTGTTGAAATTATTGCATATGTCCCCTTTTTCTCCCCATTAACCTCTTTTAACCTGCCTCCACCTCCAACTCCAGGCCTTTACCACCCTATTGTCTGTGTCCATGGGTTTTTATGCATATATGCATAAAAGTTCTTTGGTTGATTTCTTCCCATTCACCCACCACTCACCTCCGCCTTCCCTCTGAGATTCCGCAGTCGAACAGTTATTTCTTGAGCTCTGATAAGTAAGCACAAGTTAGATCTGGCTTCAGAATTTCTCTGTACACCATGAACTGCACATTTTACTTAAAGTTAATTACTATCACACATAAAACTGTCACGTAATGATCATATTTATCAAATTAATAGCATTTATTAAAATTATTCAGATATATCTTTTGTTCACATAGTACCCTTCATCCAAATTTGAATGATTCAAACTCTTTCTAAAATAAGCATTAGGAAGAGGGTAACTTCCTCCAGATATACAGATGGGAAACCATAAGAATTCACAGGCAACCTGGAGTAAACAGATGGCTCTTACATCATTCCTGCTGGTAGGGGCTGTTTCAGCACACAGTGGCCAGGTTACATCTTTCTGCAGAAAAATCATAAATTTGGCCCCAGTGTTTTTTCAAACCTCATTGCCTTTATTTTCATGAGTTTTGGTGTCCTTAAAAATGTGAATTTTTAGTTGAAACGCATTGAGTATTATTGTCTGCCTGTTTATATTTCTATCTAGTTCTTTTTAAAAAATATATATTTTATTGATTTTTTACAGAGAGGAAGGGAGAGAGATAGAGAGCTAGAAACGTCGATGAAACCAGCTGCCTCTTGCACACCCCTACCGGGGATGTGCCCGCAACCAATGTACATGCCCTTGACCGGAATCGAACTTGGGACCTTTTAGTCCGCAGACTGACGCTCTACCACTGAGCCAAACCGGTTTTCGGCTCTATCTAGTTCTTAAACAGTATCCGCAGACTGACGCTCTACCACTGAGCCAAACCGGTTTTCGGCTCTATCTAGTTCTTATCAGTTCTTTCTGAACTGATAGGTCATGATATTTGTACCTTAATTTTCATATAGCTCGATTCTATTCAGTGGTTGATTTTAAAACATATTTTGCTTTTCCCTTTGGATTCTGGCTTTGAATTGAGGTTGATTTTCGGAAAACACTGCTAGTTTCAATAAATGAAAAACTTTCTATTTTTGTAATTAACTTTTGTGTGCATCACTGAAAAATGTAAATTAAAACTACTTGATACATTCCTGAAGAGATTTTAAGAATTCTTACTTAATTGGTACTTAAATGTTTGTTCCAGAGGCACTTAAAAAGTAACCTTAATGTTTTTTAAATGAACTTAACACATTGAGCTTTCAGATTGAACTACTTTCTTTACAATAAAACACAAACCAAATAAGTCCGTTGCCTTGACAAAGTACAGCCTAATTGTAGCTAGTCTTCCTTTGACATGACATTTTAGTCAACAGGCATTTTATATGGGCAGGCTGAGTCTAGATAGTCCTCTTTGGCAGGCAAGATGTGAAATAGTTTAAATAGTTTCACTGCGTATTTATTGCCGAATGAATGTGCACTTGTTAGAAGGCTGGGTTTTTGTTTGTTTGTTTTGCTTTTTAATCTTTGGGATAAAATAGCAAAGCATAGTAAAGCATTCTTTCACTGCTCTCTGTGCTTACCAGTGCTTTGACATTTAGGTCTTTAGATGCTTTTACAAAGAGGAAATGATTTGGTGATGGAGTGCTCCCACTGACCCATGGACTCAAAGCAGGGAAGGTAAGAAACCATTTCTTCTTTCTCCTCTATCCTTGTAGAAAAACACAGAAAGCATGTCCACATATGTGTAGCTTCTTTTCACTTTAATTTTCTTGTTGATAGTTATTAAGTAGAAATAGTGAGTGACAGTTGTATTGATTGGTAGAGAAAGATATAGAAATAAAGCTGATTAGGGATAAGCTTTGTTGCTAGTTCCTTTACATTTGGTTATTAAGTTTTTAATGGCAATTCTAGAACTTAAATGCAATGTGTAGTGAAATATGGATCCCTATTCCTTTTATCTTCCTCATCAAATACTTTGTTACCACACTAAAAACAAAAACTTAAAAGAAAACTCCAACTTGGGGCATGTTATAATTTTAATACCTAAATAAGAAATTAATATATTGAGAAGTTAGGATCTTGACATTTTATGCTACGAAATCATAAACCTTCAAAAAATAACCCAGGTTTTGTTTGCTTCTTAGATAAAGTAATTTGTGGGTTTAGATTATTTTTCACACCTTTTATATAGCTAGTTTTATCTCCACTCTTGTGCTAAAGCATAAAATAGGTGCTAGTTAAATAACCTGACCCAGTCTCCTATGTGCTGGTAAAAGGTCCCAATCTCATGACATAGTAGTAAGATACAACTCTGAATTGCAGGAACATGTAAGTGATTTTTCTTCATGTTTGTAGCTCACCAAAGGCAGAAGGATCCAAAGAAAGAGGCCTGGTCCATGTCTGGCAGGCGGGATCCTGCTCTGTAACCCCAGAGAGATTGCCCGGCTGGGGAGAAAGGACTGTTCTTCAGGCGGCCCTGGGAGTGAAGCATGGAGTTCTTCTGACGGAAGGTACTGAAAAGAATGGCTAAGCAAATAGTAAATGAGAGTCTAACCAACGTCTGAGTGTGGAAGAGCAGGAAGAGAGTTACTGGATGCCAGGTGTTTTTAACAAACTTTGCTGGAGCCTATATTCTTTTTGTTTTCAAAATATGTTTTTATTCCCTTTATTAGAAATTGGATTAATTAATAAATTTAAGATATATACTTTATCAGAAAACAGACTAATTCTTATTTATTTTTTAAAAATATATTTTTATTGATTTCAGAGAGGAAGGGAGAGGGAGAGAGATAGAAACATCGATCAGCTGCCTCCTGCGTGCCCCACACTGGGGGATCGAGCCCACAACCCATGCATGTTCCCTGATCAGGAGTCCAACCATGACCTCCTGGTTCATGGGTTGATTTTCAACCACTGAGCCATACTGGCAGGGCTAGCTAGTTCTTATATTTAAGATATACCATAACTGGAATAAAAGGGAGAATGATAGTTTTTCTCTAATTAATCTGACTTTTATTACAGGGCTGTTTCAGCCTAGAACCCAGAAGGATAGAGGGAAAATTATTTTTCCTCCCCTATAGAACAGTAGACTGTACGCTTTGCCCTATAGTTTAGATGTATAGTAAGTATACACCACCTAGGTTTGTATAAGTATACTCTGTGATGTTCGCACCATGACTGAATCACTAAACAACACACTTATCAGAATGTATTCCTGTTGTTAAGCAGCACACACTATATTATATATATACTAGAGGCCTGGTGCATGAAAATTCATACACTGGAAGAGGGGGCAGTCCTTCAGCCTGGCCTGCACCCTCTCGTGGTCCGGGACCCCTCAGGGGATGTCTGACTGATGGGGGGAGACCAGGTGGGCTGATCAGGGGATGGAGCTGGCTGGCAAGTGGCCAGCCAGGGCCCGCCCCCCTCCATTGCCCTTCTGCCACTGCTGGTCGCTGATCACCATCCCCTCCCTCTGCCCGCTGGCTCGTGCCTTGGCTGTCCTGGCACTGCCTCCTCACCAGCCCACCACTCCCCCCTTGCAAACCAGTTGTTCCACTGTTTGGTCAATTTGCATATTATGCTTTTATTATATAGGATAACATTTAAAATTTACACATCATATGGCACATAACCTAACGACAGCCACATCTTGTTAACACTATGCTCTCTGTGCAACCTGGAGGTATAAAGTTAATTTCTTATTTTGGCCAAAATGAATCTAATGTTTTTATGCCTCCTAAATTTTCTGCTGTTCTGACTTATTCAGTAGTTGTAGATATTAACAAGTGTGTCTTCTGCTTAACAAACCTTACGTTCTGTTTACTTTATTTTGTCACGATCATTTTGTCTTCGAACAGTGGGACTCTGCTTTTATAATAGTCTTCGATGGTAACTGTTGGTAGTGGATCAATGCTAGAGTTTGTATGATGAGGCTGAAGGAAACTACAAAACCCTTCATTTGAAGAAATATCCTGCAATTTGTAGAAATTCTCACTATATTTCAGAATATTAGAAGTTGTCATTCACTTAAAGATGAATATATTTGGAATATCATATGCTTGAACCAAATCTCTACACTGTACTTTAGAAAAAAAAAATCCTCTTTTGTTAGATGTGGAGGGGATTAAAACTTTGCTGATGTCTAGGTAACTCAATCCCCCTCCCCCTTTTGGACTTTCAGATGGGGCGGTGTACAGCTTCGGCGCCCTCCCCTGGCGAAGTGCCCCGGCAGAGGCCTGTCCGAGCAGCCCCGTTCTCGAACATGCCCTGGCTGGGCAGTGTGTCGTCGCTGTGGCAGCGGGCAGTTTCCACAGCGGCGCGGTGACAGAGGGCGGTGTTGCGTACATGTGGGGGGAGAACTCCGCTGGCCAGTGCGCCGTCGCCAACCAGCAGCGGGTTCCGGAGCCCAGTGCCGTCAGCATTGCTGACTCTGAGACCAGTCCTTCATTGGCAGTCAGGATTGTGCAGTTGGCATGTGGCGAGGAGCACACGCTGGCATTGTCGATCAGCAGAGAGATTTGGGCATGGGGTACCGGTTGTCAGTTGGGTCTCATGACCACTACCTTCCCAGTGACAAAGCCACAGAAGGTGGAGCACCTTGCTGGGCGTGTAGTGCTCCAGGTGGCCTGTGGCGCGTTCCACAGCTTAGCGCTCGTGCAGTGCCCCCCTTCTCAGAAGCCAGTCCCAGAACGATGCAACCAGTGCAGCCAGCTCTTGATCACTATGACTGACAAAGAAGACCACGTGATTATATCAGACAGTCACTGTTGCCCACTTGGTGTGACCTTGGCGGAATCCCAGGCAGAAAAACAGGCGAGCACTGCCATCAGCCCCTCCACGGAAACCCGGGACAGCCTGGAGGAGGTATTTGAGAGCACGGGTGTACCGCATGATCTGGCTGTCGCTAACAAACTGAATGTTGGAAATGTCCATACCACGAGTGGCAATGCCATTCCCTCCCCACTGGACATCATAGGAACAACAGAAACATCTGCTGGAAACATACCCTCAGACCCTGCTGCTCCGGCTGGGAGTGAACTCGCGCAGAAACTGTCAGACCCCTCAGCGAGAGAGAACTTGGAGAACCGTGAAAAGCCAGTGCCATCCCAGGTACCTGCCACATTTTATAATTGGAAGCTGCTACTGGAGTTCAACCATCTTGAGTTTTTCTTAGAAACTTGAAAATGCCTAAGGCTTGGTAGCACTTTTTAGTTTTTGAATTTGACTATAAATCGGTTTCATAATGTAAGCCTAGATAAGGAAATACCTGGATTAACTCAAAATTACTCTTTATGTTCACATTCTGGCCTTTTATGATGTTGAAAAATGTCATGCTGGGCTTGTTTTTTAAGTAGCACCCCCACCCCCACCCCCTTTTCTTTCTTTTCTTAGTACTTCTCTCTCCACGCCCCCTTGGCTAAGGTACTGCATTTTGGCAGGCCCCTGAATAATTCAACCAAGATTCTGTTATATTCACAAAGATTCTATTACAGAACTGAAAGAGTTAGACCACCCAGCTCTAGCAGAGCCAAACACAACATGGAGAATGGCAGTGGAGAATATTGGCTGCTTTATGATGAATGCTGTCTTCCAGGAGAGCAGGAGGCTAATACTCAAAAGCGCACACTCCCGAATGACACGTAGGTTACAGATTATATAAGGCATAATGACAGGACACTGTGGGTTAGGGGATTCAAGGTCGTGCTAATGGGTCCAAAGTGTGGTAAGGGCAGTAAATCATTTCTTCAGATCTTGAGTCCGGGTCTGAGATCTCTTCTGTCTGGTCCCGTGGGAAAGCAGCCAGGGGGCCATTCTACATTAGGGCTCAGGGCCGAAGCATAATTTAGCTCAAGATGTTCTCTGCCAGTGTGGGTTACGGTCTGCTGCTTCAGGGGCTGCTGATTATCCAGGGAAAGGTGAGGTCTCTAGAGAGAAAGAAATATGATTTCTAGAGCTAGGATTTAAAACTAAATTTAATCAAAGTAATAAAGACCCTTGGTTTCAATGCCTCTGACTAGCATTTAATTTGACAAATGCATTGAATACCTACTACTTGTTCAGCACTGTTCTAATTAACAGAAGTTACTTCCTTTAAGAAACTCAAAAGCCAATGTTAAAAAAAAAATGTTGGTTTGGTTTTTAGTTCAGGATAAATTAAGGAGTGTATATATACTCTGACCTTAAGGTAGAACAGGAAACAAATTTTTAATTGTGACCTATTTTGATATGTCAAAAGCTTTCTGTGTGAGATTAGTAGGTACATTTAATGACTTTCCTGCTTAGTAAGTAATGGTGCTTGACAGCTCACAATAAATTTCAACTGATTTTTCACTAAGGTATTAGAGAACTTGAGTTTGATTTTCTAATACAGCAATGAGTAACATGAAGAACATTAGTTCCAAATGTTTAATTATTAACCTCCCACATTCTCTATGGTAGCGAGAGCAAAGGTAATTCTTCAGTTTACCTAGCTTCTGGGTCATGGAAAATAACTCATTAGTGAGAAACTAGAAGGACTTGAACTTAGAGTATATGTTAGGGTCTGATGGGCCAGAACTGTAACATTTCCTCTCTCTATAAATTGTATATAAATTTCTATTTATAAAACATTTTAAGAAAAGCTTTGTTAAAAACAATTAATTGGTTTTTTTTTTATATTTCTTAGTAGCATTCTATGTAAATTTTCCTAAAACTGATTGCTAAATAAAGCTTTCACCTTTTCAACTTTCTATCCAGGGCTGCCACAGTATACTTCATATTAAAGATGATGTTCATACTTTTTTCTTCTTCCCCCTTTTACTGTGTTTAATTTTATGAATGCAGTTGTGGCTTATTTGTAAATACCTATAGAAAAATTCAACACTGAAAAGGAAGTACTTTTGATGAGGAACTGTATATTTTGTGTACTGATTTCCATATAATACTGTTAAGTCCATGTTCAAGAGGGCATATCTTTAATTTGGAGCTATAGAGACCTTTGTTTTACACTCTTATATTTGCAAATAGTGATAGATGTTAAACTTTTTTTATTGATTGCTATTGTATAAGGACTTATATTTTTATATACTTCTTTATATGTATATATTTTAGCCCCTTGTAGAAGAAGCAGTTCCTAATCTTCACAGCCCACCAACCACAAGCACCTCAGCCCTAAACAGCCTCGTGGTCTCATGTGCATCTGCTGTTGGTGTGAGAGTAGCTGCTACCTATGAAGCTGGGGCCTTGTCTCTTAAGAAAGTTATGAACTTTTATAGTACAGCCCCATGTGAGCCTGGAGCTCAGGCAGGCGGCAGTTCCATAGGCCCAGAAGGTCTGAAGGACAGCAGAGAAGAGCAGGTTAAACAGGAATCCATGCAAGGAAAGAAGAGTTCAAGTCTCGTGGATATCAGAGAAGAAGAATCAGAGGGAGGCAGCCGCAGGCTCTCCCTCCCTGGATTGTTGTCACAAGGTAAGGACATTGCCAGGTTTCGTGAGCTGACTTTTGCTGAATCCAAGATGCTCCTGACATCACAGGCTATATGATAATCAATTGGCTTTCCTAATTGTTAAGGCTGACAATTGTTAAGGGTCAAAATTTATTTAATTTTGGTTACCATAGGTAATTTTAAAAGAAAGTTACATATCTTAGTTACATTACTTATATAGTAAGTAATGGTGCTTGACAGCTCGCATTACTTAGTAAGTAATGGTGCTTTCTGCTCTAGAAATAACTTTAGAAGGTAACTTTTTCATGATGTTTACTTCTGCTTGTGAGTTTTTTTTATGAATCTCATTCTGTTGTTCTGGAATGCAGCGATGGCCTTATTTCCAAGTTGGGGCCTGTACTACCGAAAGATGGAGTAGCAGATATGACCAATCGGTGCATGCGGAGTTACTGTACTTTGACCTGAAAGTAGAGATAATTTTAAGTTTCAAAAAGAGAAAACTTCATTTTCCAAAACCATTAGCAATAAATTTTTAGAATGTTAAGAATATGACACGGTTGGCCCTTCTACATTTCTCGATCAGTTTAGGCATCTCAGTCATCTAGACTTCTGCTTCTCAAAGTGTGGCCTGCAGCCCAGCAATCTCAGCAGCACCTGGAAATCTGCTAGAAACCCAGGGGCTCAGGCTCCACTCCAAACCTGGTGCATGAGATATTCATTCCAACAAGATCCCAGGTGACCACCCGTATGCGCTTTAAAGTTTGAGAATTATTGGATTTGACCAGTAGTTGGCAAACGTTTTCTGTAAGAGCTAAAGAGAAATATTTTATGATTTGTTGGCCATATAGCCTCTGTTACAGCTACTTAACTTTGTTGTTGTTTTTTGAAAGCAGCCAGATAAGTGAATGGTCAAAGCTGTATTCCAGTAAGACTTTACAAAAACAAGCAGTGGGCTGTATTTGACCCGCCGGCTATCAGCCACCACCCTCTGCTTTGTACCGTTTTGTGCAAAGCTCTAAAGTTAGGAATCCTAGAATATATTTGCCTTTCCTGCCCTTCCGCTGTTCCCTACGCTTGCTCTTCTTGTTTATTAACCTTTCTTGGGCCATTGAGCACTTCTGTTATCTTGCCTCCTAATGCTCACTGCCACTGAATTTTCATCTGTGCAAGTAAAACCCTCAGTCCTGGCTCATTTTAGTGTGCGTATAAAGAAAGCCCATGAATCAATTGTAATAGGACTGAAGGAGAATTTTGTGCCAAATTTTTCTTATTCTTAAATGTCCTTTAACACTTTATATTTGAGATCTCTTTAAATCACAGATGTGGAATATTGATTTTTGTTTTACAGAAAAGGGTTCTATGGGCAACTGTTTGGAAGGGGGCCAGAGCTAGACTGATTTAAACAGGGCTTTTAATCACAGGACTTGTCAGCCCCCTTTCATGCTAATGTATGCGTGACAGGGCGGCAGTAGGAGGACAGAATGTAGTAGGCAGCATTTGCCAAACTCATTTAACTATTAAATCCCCATTTTTGCAGAGCTTAGTGAATATGTGTCACACAAAACCATGTTAGTGTATTTCTTTGAAAATCAGCAGTTTATCAAAATGATATCACCCCCTTTCCCCGCCCCCCCATCTACTCCTTCACCCCTCTCTGGTTGTGTTCAGTGTCCCCCAGGCTGCTAAGAAAGGCTGCGCGTGTGAAAACACGGACAGTGGTTCTGACCCCAACATACAGCGGAGAAGCAGATGCACTCCTGCCTTCCCTGAGAACAGAGGTGTGGACCTGGGGCAAAGGGAAGGAAGGGCAGCTGGGGCATGGCGATGTTCTGCCCAGGTGAGTGCTGCCAGGGCTCGCTGCTGGAATGGACTCCTGCGGGGGCTTCTCAATCTTTATTTCCCCGTCAAGGAAATTTGGTCTCTTCTACCTCAAACCATTAACTCTGAGTTAAAAAACAACTGTGGTCTTAATCTTGAATTTTTTCCCAACAATAAATGACTTAAGTATTCATGGCATACGTCTTCATCCCACCTTTGATGTATAGGGTAGGGCAAAGCAGGTTAACAGTTATTCGTATGGAAAATAATACAGTAATTAATAAATACTAATACAAGAATAAACTCTGTCTCGAATACTCACACTATAAACCTATTTTTGCCCGACCCTTTATATACATCTTGGAACACAAAGGGCACATTTGGGATAAAGTTGTATTTCATAGGAACCCTTGCATGGTTCAAATTTTTAACTTATATTAAAAAAAAACACCCAGCAATTTTTTTTAACCTGAAAGATGTTTCTCAACCGCCAGAATAACTATAGCTGCAGTATTAAGCCATGTCTATCTATATGCCTCAAGGAAAAACTTGTTTTAAGAGGAACTCTTATGATATTAACAAGTTAGCCATTTGTGAAGTTGTGTAACTGGAACGATTATCTAAAACAGTTAATGTTAATGTCTATTGTTAGCAGAATATAGACAACTATAACATTAAAAAAAAATACTTCCCTCTATGGATGCATTTCATTGTGTCCTAAGTATCTCTTTACTGTATGAATCATTTAATAGTTTGATGATTCTTAACAAGTTCTGAATTATGGTGGTTAATTTGTGATTGATAGATAAAGATTAAGTTGAAACCATCCAAAATTACATTTAAGAGTAATTAAACATATGTCCATCATTTTAATTGCAATGTTTTCTTTTGAAATGTTTATTATTACCTGAAAGTACTTACCCTATAATTTGAGAAAAGTCATGATTCATGCTGAGAATACTTTTTTGAGTTTGTGTGTTTATGTTTTTTCTTTAAGGCTTCAACCATTGTGTGTAAAATGTCTGGATGGTAAAGAGATAATTCACCTGGAGGCAGGTGGCTTCCATTCCCTTGCACTTACTGCAAAATCCCAGGTAGGAGGCAAACTATAATAAGCTGATCTTAATTTCATGGAAGGCCAACGTGACAAGATTGGACCATTATTTCTTGAGTATCTGCTATGTGTCAAGCAACAATCTCATATCTTATTTGATCTTTCCAGTGTTTTACATTGCATTGCATTATTTCCATTTTACAGATGGGGAAGGGGGGTTTAGAGAAATTACATAACTTGTCTAAAGTCACACAGGTGATAGTAGAGTTTGGATTAGGTATACCTGTCAGAGAATCTTTCTATAATGTGCTCTCATCTAAAAACAGAACTTGAAATTTTCCAGGGTATTCTAGGAGACTAAGCATAGGCAGTGAGCCACATAAATTCTAAAAATGAACAGAGAGGAAGGATAAGAATTAGCCACATAAAATATTGTAAAACTGTGCTGTCTGCCCATTATCTCTGGTCTTTTTAAAATGAATTTCCTTAATACCTGTTATTTTAAAGAGTAGAAAGGCTAGTATAAGTAATTTGTGGGAAGGCTAGTATAATTAATTTATGTGTAACTATTGGTATATATACAATAAGGTATATATTTTATTTTAAAGACTCAGAATTGACATGCAAAGTTAGATTCACAACTCTTACCTACTTTCCTGTCGTTTTCTAATAGGTTTACTCATGGGGCAGCAATACCTTTGGCCAACTTGGGCATTCCGATTTTCCAACAACTGTTCCTCGTCTTGCAAAGGTACTTTTGTGAACTTGATAAACTTCTGTAGTAACTTATTCCCGAATTCTAAGTTATAAAAAACAATCCAGTCCTAAATTTAAAACTAACAGAGGATTCCTTCTTTCCCCTGTTTTTTCTGCGTTTGGTTGGGTACATTGCTGGGAAAATTTACCCTTTGCACCACACTTGTTTAAATAAGCTAATATTTCAGTTCCTGTGGACCTGAAGTTCTGCCTCATTCCCTCATCTTGGACCGACAATATCTTGCTGTCGTTACAGATAAAGAGTGACAATGGAGTCTGGAGTGTAGCTGCAGGCCAGGATTATTCCCTGTTTTTAGTGGATACAGAAGACTTCCAGCCTGGGTTATATTACAGTGGCCGGCAGGACCATACAGAAGGTGACAACCTTCCAGAGAATCCCAGTGGTACTAAGGCTCCAGTACTTCTCTCCTGTAGTAAGGTGAACAGGACTTGGATCCTAAGGCCCACATTCTGTAACACAAGAGAAATACTTTGTTTTTGTCATTTATGCATATGCCTGTTACTAAGTATCTTTGACTACTGTGTTACACTACTGTGCAAGCCCTTCCCATCTTCTCCTTTACTCCTTATCCCCCTTCCCTGACTTATATCCACAGTGCATATCACTGTCTAACACATTATATAACTTATTTGTCTATTGTCTGTCCTTATCTGTAAGATTCATAAAAGTGGAGATTTTAGGATTTCGTATGTACTGCTATATCTTCATAGTAAATACTTTATTTGTTGAATTGTGTCCTGTTTCCCATCACTTCCCTGTTTCTCCTAGCTTTTCACTTTATGTACTACTGTTCATCCCTTTTTCATTTGTTGATCTGAATTTCTTTGCTTTCCTACTTTCTCATTCTTTTTCATAAACTTAAATCATTGGCCAGTTTCTAGTGTGTTTTTCCCTCTCCCCCCACTAAGGTAACTCATATCCTCTAAGCTCCGTGCCTTCAAGGAAATTAACCCTCCAAGCTAGTTCATTATGAATTTCTTATTCTTACTGAATAATATATCCTATGGACTGTTTTTTATCCTTGGTGTTTTTCTGGCTAAATATGTGAGCTGTGTATGTACCCAAACAAGCTCTTCCATGCTGAAGGCAACACTGGCTGAGACTTGGCTCTTAAACTATATATAGCCTGATATTCCACACACACTAATTGGCCATGACATATGCCTGCCACCCCAGCGGGTCTGAGGAGACTGGGCACTGCAGTCTTTGAGGGCATGATAGTCAATTAGCATATTCTCTTCTTATTGGCTGTGGGTGCTACCATCTTTGTGAGAGCATGATAGTCAATTAGCATATTCCCTCTTTATTTGATAGGATTGGGTCTGCAGCATATTCACATATGCCTGTTTAATAGGCATATGTGAATAAAGGCATTGAATGTTTTTATTCAGTGGTGTCATAAATAAGTGAAAAAAGTACATTTTTAGATAAAAACCCTTTATGTTGTAAAGTACTTTTAAAAGACAAGATAACTCCAAGACCTTTGCTATTTTGGACTATAACACAGAATCCTCTTTGCTCTCATTTGTCCTATTTTATGTAAAAATGAATCCTATCTACATCATTTGGATCTTTGTATATTCAGAGTGTGTGTCTGTGGTACTGAACACATATAATATGAAATAAAAGGTTTTTTGGCAACAAATAAAAGTATAATGTATATAGTCAGTTATAGTTACAGATATAAATATATAACTCTGATGTACTGGTAAACCATCTCTAAAATTAACATCAAAACAAAACCAAAAGCCCTGATCTATAGTCTTTGCCCATTTTGTTTATGATTTTATTATTGCCAACTTAAGCTACCAGTAATTCCTGAATATTTGCCAGTTGGCTTCTCCCCAGCTGATATAAACCAGCTGCAGTGTCCAAATTGCTGCTAGTAAAGTATATCTTATCTTTAATCTTTTCTTGTCCCGTGTTTTAGCTTGGATATATAAGCAGAGTGGCAGCTGGAAAAGACAGCTATTTAGCCTTGGTGGACAAGAACATTATGGGGTATATTGCCAGTCTCCATGAGTTGGCTGCTACGGAAAGAAGGTTTTATTCAAAACTAAGTGACATCAAATCTCAGATTCTCAGGCCTCTTCTCAGTTTAGGTAAGTAGAACACTCTTGTTTTACCTGTTCTTCCTATATTTGCATAATGGTTTACTGCTTGCTTCCCTTTCTCTTCTTTTTGTACACAGTGCAAATCATTCCCACATTTTCAGTGGCCCAGCTGCCACTCTCCTATCCTGCCACTTCCGGAGCTCCTTCTGCTGTAGAAGTAGAAAATGGAGCTTTTGGAATATTCATGGCAGAGAAGCAGAAATAGCTTTGGGACAGTTGATCCTAGGAGCTAGACTTCCAAACAAAACTCTGGCCCCACCAGCCCTAAGATGTATTACACACTGTCTTTGTTATAATTCCTAGAATTAAGTAGAGATTGATTTGAATTTGTTGATAACTGTAAGAGTGCTAGGTTTCTGATCCCACATTAGCATAAATTGATGAAATTAGATTCTTTTTTTTTTATATATATATATTTTTATTGATTTTAGAGAGGAGGGGAGAGAGAAAGAAACATCAATGATGAGAAAGAATCATTGAAAGATTACCTTCTGTACGTCCCACACTGGGGATTGAGCCCACAACCTGGGCAGGTGCCTTGACCGGGAATAGAACGGTGACCTCCTGGTTCATATTCAACCACTAAGCCACACTGGGCCTTATTTAAAAATTTTTCTAGGTTTGGCCCTGCACTCAGAAAATGGAGAGGAAGTTTTATTTCTCTTTCTATCTCCCGTACTCAGTGGGCCCCTCTGAGGACTCACAATTCAGGCCAATATTCTAGTACTAAATTCTACCTCGTTAGTGCACCAGCTTTTCCACAGTGAAGCGACATTGGCTTGTATGGATCATTGTTCATTGTTTTCAGTGGGAAAACATCTACTTTTCAAACAACTAACTTAGTTTTCCTTTGTATGTTAGAAACTCTGAATTAAAAAAAGAAAAAGAAAAGGTATTTTGCTTTTTTGAATGTAGTAGAATCCCCTGCTCTATAAATTCCCCTTCAGTGGGTGGACCCAATACCCTAGGACTTTGGCAAGAGAAGGAAGCAGTCCAAGCTGTAGGCTTCCAGGAGTGCTCTGACAGGAAAGAAAAGGCTGTTAGGTGAGGCCAGTTTCTGTGTTGGTCTCCCCTGGTCTGCTCATCAGCCTTATGGTCGGAGAGAAGTCCTAGAAACTAGGACCTCCGGATCGGGAAAGAGCACATAGGCTCCTGATGCCTTCTGTACAGTTTAGAGCAACCTGGGCAGTCTTGGGTTTGGATTGCCCTCTCTGTGCTGAAGTGGTGGGCTTGTCCAAAGAATAAGTTGAGTAGAAGTACAAAAAGTTGAAAATGTTAACCAAGCTGTAACTATAGAAGTGAGTTTAATTCCTGACTGTCCCTCACCAGCTGTGTGAAACTAGGTACTTCCGTTCTCTTGGCTTCAGATTACTTATCTTCAAAATGGGAGAGTTGGCTCAGTGGCTCTTACATTTGGTGAACCTGCAGAATTACCTCAAAAACTTTTCTTTTTAACTTATCCATCTTGGGATCTTAACCCTTGCCTCTTGAGTCAGAATCTGTGGGGCCCCTGTGAGGGTTTCTTTAGCAAGTTCCTCAATGACTTGATTCTGTGGCCTCTGAAGTTGCTTTCTTTAACTCTGTGATTATTGGGGTTCCACAGTTGAGAATACTTAAAGAAAAGGGAAATTCATAATCCTAATTGTAAGGAAGTATTCAGGAAATGACTCTTTAGGTTATGTTGTCATCATCATCATCATTTTGTTACAGAAAATTTGGGCACCGCAAGTACTGTCCAGCTGTTGCAAGAAGTGGCGAGCCGATTCAGTAAGCTGTGTTACCTAATTGGGCAGCATGGAGCCTCACTGAGCAGCTTCCTTCAAGGGGTCAAGGAAGCCAGGAGCCTGGTCATTCTGAAGCATGCCAGTCTCTTCTTGGATAGTTACACAGAGCAAGTATCCAGTCCCGTGTCATGTTCAACCTCTGCAGGGTTTTTCTGCTAAGAACAGCTCCTTAATCAGAGGAGACTAGATTAGGGAGAGTGATATAAGGTAATAGAAATTGCAAAGCAGTATTTTAATCTTAGGACAACTATAGTTCTGCATTGCTAAAATTGTACTGTTTTTCTAAGGGGGGGGGGGGAAGCTTTAAAAATAATTCTCATATTTTCTATATCCTAGCATAAAGTATACTGTAATAAATATGAATATATAAACATTCCCTTTAGAGAACAAAGTTGTTTACTTAAGTAAATTATACTAAACTTTGAGGAAATAAGTTATTAAACAAATTATTTCAAGACCGATTACTGATTGCAAATGTGGAGCTGTTTCAAGGGAATGGAGGGTTTAAAGACCAATCTCTTTTTGAAAATAAAGATGCTCTCTAAATAAAACCAAGGATAGTTATTTAAGGCTCTTTTCATGTTTTTCAAGTAAACTATCCCACGTCTATTTGAAAATTTAAATATTTCTCACTTTTTCTTAATTTATAGTTTGACAGTGTGATGTGAGACATAATTTAAGTGTTATTTTAATGTCTATTAATGTTTATTGTTCATCTGAAGTGTAGGTTTTCTCCTTTGACTGAATAGCAACTAAATGCCAGGCTTTGTACACAGCTCCAAGAACTCGGCAGCAAAGGGCAGAGCCAGGGAAGAGCACAGCGCAGGAGTCATGTGCTGTTGGTGTTCTGTATGGGTTATTTACACTAAAAACAATGTTGGTTACTGACAGCTGTACAAGGCAAGATAGTCAGTTTAAGGCGTCCATAATCCTCCCACCCAGAAATAAGCATTGTTCATAATCTTAGTGTATTTCCTTTTGGACTTATCATATATGTGCAAATGGATGTATGTGATTTTAATTCTCAGTAAAGTTTAATATACTTGAAGCTATTGTCTGAGTGGAAAAGACTCTGGTTATAGTCTTTTAACTCATCATCTTTCAGACATGAAAATAACATAATTTGAAACCAATTTGCTTTTTTGAGCTAAATTTTGTTTGTGTGAAGGTTTCAGTTTTTAGTAGCATAATTTTTCTTTTTTTAACTTATATTCAGTGCAGTCTGTTGCAATTCTTTTTCTTCTCTGATACTTCAGAATTTATGCTTGAAATGCTTTTTATTTTTATATAATGGGCTATTTTTTAACATAATTTATTCATACAGATGAAGCAAGTAAATTTTTAACTTACTTTTAAATATGTTTTTATTGATTTCGGAGAAAGGAACGAATAGGGAGAGAGATAGAAACATCAGTTGGCTACCTCCTGCATGCCCCTCTACAGGAGGGGTCAAGCCCTTAACCCGGGCGCATGCCTTGACTGGGAATCAAACGATGACCTCCTGGTACATGGGATGATGCTCAACCAACTGATTTAAACTGGCTGGGCTATTTATGAACTTTAAAAATTATTTTTAATTGTGGTATAAAATATATGTAACATAAACTTTACCATTGTAACCATTTTTTTAATATGCTCTTACTGATTTTTTAAAATTTATTTTATTATTTATGTTTGTTTTCAACATCATTTTTTTAAATCCTCACCCGAGGGTATTTTCCATTAACTTTTAGAGAGAGGGAAAGACAGAGAGAAATATCGATGTAAGAGAAACATTGATTAGTTGCCTCTTGCACTTACCCTGGAGACTGCAACCGAGGAACGTGCCCTTTACCAGAATCGAACCCAGGACCCTTCAGTCTGTAGACTGACACTCTATCCATTGAGCCAAACTGCTAGGGCTGATTTTTTTTTATTTTATTTATTTTATTTTTTTTTTAGAGAAAGGGAAAAAAGAGAGAGAGAGAGATCTCTACCAGGGATCAAGCCTGCAACCAGGGCATGTGCCCTGACTATGGTTGAACATGGTTCCATGTACCAAGAGGTCATGGTACCATGTTCAACCATGTTAATCATCTTTTCTCAGATTTGTTAAGTTACTAAGTAAAATCTACCGGATACATTCTAATATCTTCTGCATAGCTTTAGGTGGGTGTTTTTTAAAATTTTTTTATCATGTTAGCATCTTTACTCAGATGGCTTTTTTCCTTCCCCCAGATTTTGTGATTATCACATAACCTGCCCTTCTCTTCAGTCCTTTATAGTTCGTGAATGTTGATATAATAGAAATGCTGAAACTCATTGGAGAGATGCTGGATGCTTGTTCAGAAACTCAGAAGAACTAATATGCACTTGAACACTAATGTACATGTTTTCTTTTTTGCTGAAGGTATTGTACATCTATTACACATTTCCTGGTTATGGGAGGATTCCAGCTGCTCGCTAAGCCTGCCATGTAAGCAGATACCTTCCAGTTATCAAGTCAATATTTGAAATTATTTTAAAGTATTCATTTTAAAAGAGAGCAGTTTGAGAACCTCTAGAGCCCAGAACGTAACTAGCGAGCCTACGTGGAAGTGTGGATCTTGGATAATAAGGCTCAGGCTCTCATCACTTAGCTGGTTTATCACTTAGCTGCTTACCTCAGGCTAGTCTGGTGGGTTCATCATTATATAGGGTTTATAATAATAATTGTTATTATTATAAAATATACATAACATAATATTTATCATTTTACCATTCCTAATTGTACCCTTCTCTGGTGTTATAGGTAACACCATTACCTATAAACAAGACGAATTTAAATTATCCCCAACAAAAACTCAGTACCCATTAAACAATAAGTTACCTTTTCTCCCTTCCCACAGCCCCTGGTAACTTATATTCTATTTCCTGTCTACCAATTGCCTATTCTATAAGAAATCATATAGTATTTGTCCTTCTGTGTATGACTTATTTCCCAAAGCATCATGTTTTCAGAGTACTTTCATGTTGTATATACCAAAATTTTATTCCATTGGATGGTTGAATAATATTCCATTGTATATATACAACACATTTTGTTTATTCATTCATCTGTTGATGGACATTTGGGTTGTTTCTATCTTTAATATATTTATCTTTTTGAGTAACAAGTACAAACCTAGCCATGTAAGGGAAGAGCAGTATTGTCACTATTAGATCAACAACGCCTAAGAAAGAGAAGTTACGCAGTTTCTGGTTCAGATTTCCTGAGAGCATACGAGGGCCCCTCTTGGGAAAGTCTATAGGCAAGGAAATAAATCCTGAAAATTAATGGGGTTCACAAAAGTTGGAACATTTCTGTCTAGTGCTGGGCTTTCAGGAGAAACATGGTCAGAGTATTGTTCGCCATGTAATATGTCCTTTTCTCAGGAGCAGGTCAAAGCAGAACACTTGTAAAGGCGTAAGCTAGTGTCCTCAAGGTATCTCAGCAGCACAACACAGAGACGAAAGCAGAAACAGTCACACAAGCCAAGTACAAATAAAACTCTGGGCCAGTTCCCCAGGTCATTCTCTCTTAATTGCATTATAAAAGAATCCAGTTTGTGCCATTGAACTTTGGGGTTCCTGGAAGTTATTACACATTTTTTCCATCTTTCCACAATAACATTTCATAGCTTCTGACTTAGCATTTCTTTTTTATTTCATAGTTCCCTGAGGGATTATAAAATGATTCATTTTTGCCTTATAATCTTGTGTGGCATTGTCTTATTTGAGGCCTTGTAGCTTAGAATTGTAACATAATGCTCGTAAAGCACTCAAGCCTGGCACATAATTGTTCATTAAGTGGCAGATAATTATTATTCTGTCACATGAATTCTTTCTTTTTTATAAAAGTATTTGGTCTAGTCAGCATAGTCTCAGTGGACATTAAAGTTTACATTAAAATGTTAATAATGAGTTTATATATAAAATTGAGTATGAAAATTAAATGTTGGCTGAAATTTGAAATGCTTTTGAAGATCTCAGCATTGAAATATTTGAATATAATTAGCTTTATTATTTTCTGTTCATTATAGTACTGGTACCTACAGCTCTATTACTCTCTTGTAGTAAACTCTTATTAGGTGACCAACACTTAATAAAAAAAAGGAAGAAATTAGACGTATTTTAACATTTCATGCCAATTTTAGTGGAGCAAAGAGTTTTGTTTTTTCCCTCCAGTATTTCTCTTTATCACAACTGATTAGAGCAATTTTTTTGCTGTGACTTTTGGCTTAGAAATTAATAGATAATGATGTTAGCTGGTCTTCAAGTATTCCCTGAAATCCTGAGTTGCATGAGTTATTTCCTAGAACATGAGGCACAAATCTGAGATTAATCATCTCTGTTATGGAGTTACTTATTCCTACCATTTGCTATTTTTCATATTTAAAAAAAACAAACCATCTTGTAGGCAGAGAAACTCTTTTAATTATATATGGCTTATTTTATTTTAATGATCGTCTACTATTCCATAACACCTAGAGATGTGCATTCTGAGAAAGATAGGATCTAGTGAAATATTTTTATTTAGTATCATGCATGTTGTCATTACCAAAATGATTAACTTAATCTCTTTTTGTTCCACCTCCAGTGATTTCCTAAATAAAAATCAAGAGCTGTTGCAAGATTTATCAGAAGTGACTGATGAAAACACGCAGTTGATAGAAATACTGAATACTTTGTTTTTCTTGCCAACTAGACGACTTCATAATTATGCAGAAGTTTTGCTAAAGCTTGCTACTTGTTTTGAAGTGGTAAGCCCCATATGTATTCTCTTTGGACACTTGGGAAGCCAAGGGTCATAGTTAATTTGTTTGTTTGTTTGTTTGTTAGGATTATGTCACTCTACAACCTGGAATTCCACTAATTTAATATTTATATATGTTTAATTAACTTTATTTTTCTTCAGAGAAGTTAAAGAAAAATGTAGCTGTAGGTAAATCTAGTTTTCTTGGCGGTGGATTCAGTTTCCTTTCAGAATATTATTGAGATAAGTTATACTCATGTTATGAAACCATGTATAAAGTTGAGAGCCAAGTATGAGTGCTAGTCATTCAATAAATGTTAAAGTTTACCAAGTGCACACTGAGTACAAGTTACACAGAGCTTTCAAACACAGGCTCTCTGTATAAACAACACACACCTGTAAGGCTGTGGAGTTGCTACCTGGCCTGGACTCCTGGTAGATTGATACCAGGTATTTAGGTCACCATGGCATATGCTATGAGAAATCACAGTGTTACAGGATTTCATCATATGCTAGCTGGTCTACTTTCTGTATAAAATTAGTTAAGTGGAATCCTAAAAAATCAGCACTGCTCTTAAGAAGTGGGTGTATGATAAAACTGGTCTTGAGATATTCGCCTTTGAAGTTGTACTGAAATGTGCAGTTTCGTTTCATTTCCTGTGTGAAGGGTTCTAGAGAAACCATGATGACTTCAGGGTTCCTTATAGTTTAGAATCTTATTAAAATTTGTTTCTTTATCTGGGTAGATTTCAGTCTCCAGAGTGACCCAAGAACTGATAATAGGCTTTCTACATTTGATCCTACTGGGGTCCTGTAGGTGATTTCTTTAGTTTTACCCAGATTGGCTTAGTTTTAGCAATGAAGATTTTTGCTACACAAACAACCCAATGAGATACAGATATTACCTCAATATAGCCTCAATTAATTAAAAACCTTCCCTCCTAGAAAATTTGGAATTGTTCAAAGAGTGATATTGTTCTATTTCTAGTCTCAAGAGTCCAAATTCTGTGTAAAAAATACAGACTCCACAATCAGATACCTTTTTTGTTTTTTCTACCCTGTTTCAGAGAAGAATATCCACAATTATTTAAAATGAGTATTGAAATACTCTTTTCTTTCCTAGCAATATATTTTTATAAAGCAAGATTTCCTTCTTATATTTCAACCCTAAAAGATTAAATTCAGTAGCAGCTATCATTTTTTAAGCCAGATGATAAAGAGATTTGAAAAAAATGTAGAACAATGCCACTTTTTTCACTAAAAAAATTTTTTTTTGTTTAGGAAAATTTGTTATTTTTTATTTAAAATGTTATTGTATTGCCCAACCCTTGACCAGCATTGAACTTGGGACCCTTGAGTCTGCAAACCAATGTTCTATCCCCTGAGCCAAACCAGTTAGGGCTATCCTGAGTTTTCTATTGCTCTACTCACTAATAATTACCAGTGTTTGTTTCTTCCGCCCTGGAGTTATTTCTCTATTTCTTATTTACCTATATGCTACAGAATTTTCTGGAATTATTCTGCTTTTTGCTCAGCTCCGTGTAGTATATTAGCATTTATTTACTCCCTACATTTAATACTAAGTATCTGAACCACACAGAGGCTACAGATTCTGGACAATTGTTTTATATTATTTTCCCCCTTTGATATATTGGCCTCTAGACATCTCCAGAATACCAGAAACTGCAGGATTCCAGTTCTTGTTATGAGTGTCTTGCTCTCCATCTCGGCAGGAAAAGGAAGGAAGCAGAATACACACTGGGCTTCTGGAAGACCTTCCCTGGCAAAATGACGGTAAGTAGGCCATGCCAACTGCCATTACCTCAGCAAACAGCAGGCATATCCGTAACAACTGCTGCCGTTTCCTCCATTCCTCACTCATTTGTGGTGAGAATGCTTTAATGAACCCCTTGCCAAGGTCTAAGGACCACAGCCATGGATGTCATAAGCATCTCCTTTCCTCATTCCTAGGAATCCTCTTCGAACATGTGTCTCACTTTCTTTTGTTTGTTTCAATCTTTTTCATCTCCTTTGGTTGCTAATTTTATGGTATATTTGGATTGCATTTAAATTTAGGTTTAACATCAAGCTAAGCTAGGACCAACAGGTTTCCCTAAATGTATTATTGTATATTTTTTATTTTGCCCTTTGCATATTAAAATAATTCTGGTGATTTGATTTTATATTTATTTTTAATTCCAGGATTCCTTAAGGAAGCCAGAGCGCCGGCTGCTGTGTGAGAGCAGTAACCGAGCCTTATCTCTGCAGCATGCTGGGAGGTTCTCTGTGAACTGGTTCATTCTCTTTAATGATGCACTGGTCCACGCCCAGGTACGCCGGATTCCTCACCTTAAAAAAACACTGGAAGGAAAGTGGAGTATTCTACTTATTTAATTAACTAGGGACACAGTGCAGGAATTCTTGCACCTTGAAAGGAACCGTGGGCTGTGATTCTGCATTAGGCACAGGGGCAGTTCTCAGCCCATCCTCCGAGACCCCACCCGGTCCCTCCCGCTGTGGCTCCCAGTTCCCTCTCTACCTATAGCCCTGCTCTTATCATCATCACTTCCACTGCTGATGGCACCAGCACCCGTTGATGGTGTGAAATGATTAGGGCCAGCACCAGCAGCAGGTACAAGCAGGGCTGGCCCCATTGGTGGGTGCAAGTGGCAGCTGCTGCCCTGATTGCCCCTCAGGAGCAGAAGGAGGTGGAGAAGCCTTTAGGGGTGATCAGGGCTGGCAGTGCTGCTTGCAACTGCTGATGTTGCCTAGTGATCAGGATCGGCAGTAGGTGCAAGTGGTGGCTTAGGCACTGGCAGGAGGTGTGAGTGCCAGGTGGGACCGTGCACACAGAAGCAAAGAATTTTCAGTAACCACCAGAGGCTCACCCTGATGATGACAGCGACCAGTGCCCCCCTTGGTCTGGCGCCCCTGCTCACATGCTCCATCATCCCATTGGGGCCAACACCTGCTATGTTCCGCACATGCCCCCTGGTGGTCAGCACACATCATAATGACCGATTGTTCAGTTTCGCTGTTCGGTCTATTTGTATATTAGCCTTTTATTATATAGGCTTATACAATCAGTCTGTGTTAAAATCTCTTATGATTTGGCTGAAACCTGAATGACAGCAAATACTTAGCTTACCTTTCTGGTTTGGGTCAGATTTCAGGGAGCTTTTTTAGTTTACATCTTGAAAGTGAGTAACAGCCATGTGACAGGGTTCTTGCTATGTTATGAGGACTATTTGGCTGCGATAGTGACACCATATGGACTTAGCTATTTGAAAACAGGTTATGCAGCACAGAACATGGCTTTCTCAGGTGTGTCTCCATGTTTTTGTTTCAGTTCTCCACACACCATGTGTTCCCTTTGGCCACCATATGGGCAGAGCCACTTTCTGAAGAAGCAGGTGCTGTGTAAGTGTGGCTCCTACCCCCACCTCTACCCTAATTCTCTCTTCTGTTACCCAGGTTGCTACCTTAGATATGAAAAAAGGTTTAGGAGGCCTCTCCATTCTGCATAATGAGGCTTTCCCTCCCAGCATGGAGATAGTAAAATGGCTGTTGTCATGACAGTCATGACAGATCATAAGTGATGGAAGGGCTTCTCTGTTGCTCACATCCCCATCATTCAACAGAGCAAAGTAACTGTCCTTTCTTCTACCCTGGGAGGAAAACCCAGCCCAGGGCTGCATTTACATTTAATTGACTCCTGCTCCTCTTGTAATAAACAAGTTGCTTTTCATGTGCGAGGATTCATATTGTAATGACAGGTTCTCATACCTATTGGTATTTATCCTTATGAATGTTTTAGGAATGGTTTGAAAATAACTACACCTGAGGAGCAGTTCACTCTCATTTCATCAACACCCCAGGAAAAGGTGAGTCCAGTATGCTATGTTATTTCCATCTTTAACTTCAATATTCCTGTCTCGTATGATAGTAAAGAAGAGATAAAAATTGTTCTTGCTTAGCTCATGATCTTTGATTATGTGATAAATCTTCATTAAACTAAGACTATACACTTTTTTAATGTGACTTAATTTTAAACATATAGCAGTGAATTCCAAGAACCAGTCAGCATTACTCAATATGAAAAGCACTAGAAGGCATAAAAATTATTCACATCAAGAACAGCTAGCAGTTAAGTCACACAATGCATGATGAGTTACTGCCTTAAGCTTACTGGCACTTGTTTGTTTTTGTTTTTGTTTTGTTTTTGTTCCTAGACTAAGTGGCTACGGGCTATAAGCCAGGCTGTGGATCAGGCTTTGAGGGGGGCATCTGAACATCCACCTTACGGAGGTGGCAGCAGCGTTCAGAGGCAGGAGCCGCCCATTTCACGCACTGCTAAGTACACTTTCTATAAGGATCCTCGCCTGAAGGATGCAACCTATGATGGACGCTGGTTTTCAGGGAAGCCTCATGGAAGGTAAAAATATTTAAGATTTATGCCTGGGGTGAGGGTGATAGTCTAATTACTGAGAAAGTAATGATTATTTGAGACCTTACTTGATATGTACTATTCTTTGTGCATTTCAGAGGGGTTTTGAAGTGGCCAGATGGAAAGATGTATTCCGGCATGTTCAGGAATGGCTTGGAAGATGGGTAAGAAAATTGTGTAAAACATGAGGGTAAATTCATGAGGGTAACTTCAGTCACAAGTTACGTTATTTTGTGATCAGAGTCATTTTCAAAACAAGTAGTGGATTTTTGTTTTTCTTACTAGAAATACATACCATGTATTATATTAAGGTCTATAATGTGTGAACACGAAAAGCTAGGGATCTAGGGTGCAGCCTGGATTTACCTAGAGGGAATCAATGACCTTGACAGGGTGGCCTCAGTTTACACAGCCAGCCTTGCATCTGTTAAAATGGGACTGTGTTTTCTATCCACTTCTCGATTGTGAAGACAGAACCTTGGGCAATGTAGATGGTGAGACTGTTGGAATATTGCTGCCCCCGTATACAAAGGACATACAGAAATTTCTCCTTATGTAGTTTAAAATCATCTTAATTTCTGTGAGATGCTAAAGGGAAAATCTTATAAGTTCTATATTATCCTATTGATACTCAATGGCAATTACTTTTTTATAAGCTTGTCATGCTTTCTAATTCTTAAATATATTTACATGATGAACTAATGGCAATGAATTATTTTGTATTATGATAGAGAAGTCATTATTTTACTAAATATTACTATATAGATTGGGTAGCTGATTTTGTGTATATGCGATAATATGTTTTTGTGATGTCTTTTAATTTCCTATTTGCTAGAACTTTAAGATAAGAAGAGACTTTAAATAATCTGATTTACCCCCTTTATTAAACAAGTGAGGGTTCTGGGTACCAGGACTTACCCAGGATGATGTGGCTACTAAGTGGCAGTGATAGGCCTAGGACACAGGTTTTCTGTTTTGCCTTGGACCTGTGATAAAACATTTAATCTCTCTGCATAGTGGGGTTAATATCTCATTCCTTTGATATTTGCCCAACAGTTTAGGTAATAGATACAGCGTAAATCAAGGCTTCATATACTCCTTTCCTCCTATTGGTAAATCTTCTCTCCTCATTAAAATGTTTACAAGCGTCTGCATGCAAAAGTTGACTATGTCATACATGTATCTGCTCTTTTTCATTCTCCTGGCAGGTATGGAGAATACAGAATCCCAAACAAAGCACTGAGCAAAGAAGACCATTATGTGGGCCATTGGAAAGAAGGAAAGATGTGTGGTCAGGGAATCTATAGGTAATAACTTTGGAAAAGTTGTAGGACTGGTGTTGCTTTTTCAAAGAACATTCAATTTAAATGTTTGTATAGCCAAAATTTCAAGGAGTAAATTTTCTTTGCTCTTATGTCTGAAACTAAAGTATTTTTTTTAAAGTTTTATCACAAGATGAAAGTATTAGGTTTTTATTTAGTTTGTAACAAAACTACAAACTTTATAAACCCTAACTTTCAGATAGGCTCTCCTAAATGTCTTGCCTATAAATTTATGTTTATTATATGACTCTAATATGGACAAATCTATCATTCTTTCAGAGATCACTCATTTCATTTTCCTATTGGAAATGAGATTTGATTGGTGAAAAATAATCATATTACTAATCATTATAATTACTAGTAAGACATGAATATACTTTAAAGTTTCCTAACTTTGCAAAAATAAGCATCAAAATTAAATGTGATGTGATGTTTATCCATCCCTTTTAACCACAGTTATGCCTCTGGTGAAGTGTTTGAAGGTTGTTTTCAAGATAACATGCGTCATGGTCACGGTCTCCTACGAAGTGGAAAATTGACTTCCTCTTCTCCCAGCATGTTCATTGGCCAGTGGGTAATGGATAAGAAATCAGGATATGGTGTCTTTGATGATATCACAAGGTACAGTATTCTGCTTCTAATCTCAAAGTATTTCTCCAAAAATAGTGATGATTCTATGAAGGCTAACTGTCTTAATTCGATAATGTTGAGAAAAATTTTAATAAGACATGTCAGACATCATTTTATTCATTTATTTGTGAACCAAACTATAGGTTACTTCTTTATATTGTCAGGATCATTTAAAATTAAAATTGGTACCATTTTTCTTAAAGCTTCACACTTAGAAGTTTTTAGTGTCTCAAAGAGGCTACCAAATCATTAACTATTATGCAAAAAAAACACCAAAACACCCTTGAAATTAGTAGTTGAGAGTGGTAAAAGGTTAGAAGGAAATTACCTGTGGAAATTCCATTTGCAGTCCTACCATGGTATTTAAATATCTGTTGCTCAGGTCTTCCTCTCAGGTCAGATACAGGAGGGGGGTATACAGTTGCTTTTTTCAAAGAATCATGTGAATTTAAATGTTTGTGTAGCCAAAATTTTCAGAGAGTAAATTTTCTTTGCTTTTATGCCTGAAACTGTCTACAATCTTTTTTTATGCCTAAATCCAGATATCAAGCTTAGTTAAATTCATGTAAACCTTGGGGAGGTGCGAAGTTCTTTTTACCCCATATTTGAGTTGGCCTGATTTGTCTTTGGACTTAATTATGTATTCTTTTCCCTTCGTGTTGTTGTCATAATGCGAAATTTTTAAAAAATTTGCTGTTGCCCTGGCTGATTGCTCAGTGATTGGAGCATCAGCCTGTGACCATTAGGTTGCAGGTTCAATTCCCAGTCAAAGGCATATGCCTGGGTTGTGGTTTTGATTCCCAATCCTAGTCAGGGCCCATGTGAGAGGCAACTAATTAATGTGCCTCTCTCACATCGATGTTTCTCTCTCTCTTCTCCCCCCCCCCCTTCCCTTCCACGCTCTAAAAAAATCAGTGGGAAAAATAGCCTTGGATGAGGATTAACAAAAAAAAGTTTTATGTTATTACTAAAATCTATGCTTATTTAACAAAAGTTTGTACTTATTTTGTCTTTTTAGTGGAGATGAGTAAGATTTCTCTCATTTCTTTTTTCTCTTTTTTTGGTAATAAAAACTTTTGGGTAATAAAAAAAACTCCACACGTTTTGAGTTTGCCTATCACATTTTGAATAGTTATGTATTTTAGAGTTGTCGTGGATATACATGGAGTAGAAGCAGATCTCTGTCGGTAGACTATAATATTTAATCCCTGAGAGAACATTGCTCTGAAGAAGACGCCTTGTCTCATGTTTGAAGTGATTGGATTAACCACTTGATCTAGAAAAATTTAAACACATACCAACCTAGGACGATGCTTGGTATCTTTCATGTGATGACTGTTTTTCCCCCACCTCATCTTTATCATCATTGATTTTTCATTTCTTTTCTCTTTCTATGAAGGGGGGAAAAGTATATGGGAATGTGGCAAGATGATGCATGTCAAGGGAATGGTGTGGTAGTTACCCAGTTTGGATTATACTATGAAGGCAACTTTCACCTTAATAAAATGATGGTGAGTGGAACATTTACACATAGTTACTATTCATTTTTTAAAAACTCCTATGTCATTAACTTTTAAAATTATTTATTAATGTTCTACCTTCCCAGTACTATTTTTCTTGTCTTTAAAAGTAGTAAGGCTTTAGAGAATATGTACTCCCAAGTTGTCTGCATTTTATGTATTGTGATTTTTGTTTTGTTTTTTTCACCCAGGGAAATGGGGTTTTGCTTTCTGAAGATGATACTATCTATGAGGGAGAATTTTCGGATGACTGGACTCTTAGTGGAAAGGTTGGAAACTAACTTCTATCTCTCTCTAATACAATGCTGCTCATTTTCCTTGATTTAAAAAAAAAAAAAAAAAAGCTAACTTCATAAAATTCACTTGTTTCAATGATTTTTAATAAGAGTCGTATAACCATCACTGCAATCCAATTTTGGAGCATTATTGTCATCGTCTTCTGCCCATCTGAAGTCAGCCCTCATTTCTAACACAGTCCCAGAGAACCTCTAGTGGACTTGATTACTCTCTAAGTTGGCTTGTATATAAATGGAATCATACAGCTCATGGTGTCTTCTGTGTGGGTTCTTATTAGCACAGTGTTTTTGAGGTCTTCCCTCAAACATTGATGTGAGAGAGGCACATTAATCAGTTGCCTCCCACTGGGGTTGGAGATCCAACCCACAACCCAGGCACATGCAGTACTTCATTCCTTTTTATTGCTGAATAGTATTCCAAAAACACATTTTGTTTTATCTCTTCCTTTACCAGTTAATGGGCATTCTGTTATTTCTAATTTTAGTATATACATATGTTTTTATTTCTCTTGGGTAGATGCCTGTGAGTGTAATTGCTGAGTTGTATGGGAAATTGATGATTAACATATTATGAAATTGCCAAATTGTTTTCCCAAGTGGCTACAGCATTTTGTATTCCCCCCATCATTGTATGAGGTTTCTAATTTCTTCATGTCTTTGCTAATATTTTTAGTTTCTGCTTTTTCTTCCTTTTTTTTTTTTTTTGCCATTCTAGTGGAAATGAAGTGTTATCTTGTGATTTTAATTTGCATTTCCCTTAAAACTAATGATGTTACATCTCTTTAGAGCATATTTTCACGTGCTATAAATTTACCTCTAGGCACTGTTTTGGCAGCACCCCATGCATTTGTATAAATTGTGTGTTCTTTTCATTTAGCTCAAAATATTTTATCAATTTTTTTCTGTGAGTATTATGTGTTTTTTTACAGGGTTCATTTTCACATACCCTTTCTGCACATGCATATACATACAATTTAAAAAAAAGAATTGGGGGTTGGTAAAGAATAAGTTAAAAAGGGAAATGTTAACCATTTGGTGGTGTTTTTTCTCTTGGTTTTTTAAATTGAAAATACTTCTTCTAATTCCACATTTTCTCTAACTTTACCTAGGGAACACTGACTATGCCAAATGGAGATTACATTGAAGGTTATTTTAGTGGTGAATGGGGATCTGGCATAAAAATCACTGGAACCTACTTTAAGCCTAGTCTGTATGAGAGTGATAAAGACAAACCCAAAGTTTTGTGAGTAATTAATGTTAATTCTGGATTAATTATTGAATGTTTTGAGTTGTCTTGCTTTTATCAAAGCTGGTTAATATTTTAAGAGCAGAACAAGTTTTTGAAGGCTTTTTTTTTCTTTATTCTTTTTTTTTTTTTTTTTAAACAAAGTATAACCTCCTTGAATTGTCAGCTAAATCTAAAGTTTTGGTTTAGATTAAAGCCCCTAGAGCACAGATGTTTAAAACAAAAGTTCTGTATGTAGAAATAATACTACTGTTAATGGTGCGGGTATCCAAGTTCATTAAAAAAGAGCATTCTTAAATGAACCCTTACCCAATTTGATTTGAAAAATAAAGATCAGGCACGTGTACATATAACTAGTGGAATAGTATACTCTTCACTCATGGAAAAGAAAGTTAAAATCTAAGTCTCTATGTTACGTTATGTTCTCCCAACAAGTTTTTGGATGTGTATATTTTCCCTTATTGATCTCAGCTTTAGCTTTGTTTTTTGATAGCATCTCAGATTCTTGGTTCTGATGGGATATATTTTTTATACCATGTTTATTCTTAGAGTATTTTTTAATATATTTTATTGATTTTTATTATTATTATTATTTTTGCCCCCCTTCCCCAGAGTTTTATGTCCTTCCCCTGAGTTTTATGTACATTGGTTGTACTTATATGCTTGTATACAAGTCCTTCGGTTGATCTATTATCTCCCCCAGATCTTCCTCCCCTCCCCACTGTAATTTGACAGTCTGCTTGTTGCTTTACTGTCTCTATATCTATCTTTTGGTTCATCAGTTTATAATGTTCTTTATATTCTTAGAGTATTATAACCCAGTATTCAATGCATTTCTATAATTCCTATCATGAGTTGAGCAAAGCACAGAAAGTCCTTGTTTTAACAGGAATCAACTTTACAAAATCAACTCTGTGTAAATGGAGAAAGCAAAGGAATCCATTCTGTGTGCTTTGTACTTAACAATTCATAGACTTTAGTGTATGAGTAGTAGTTAAAAACCATCACTTCATAATTTTTATTCAGTGTTTTAAAAATAGAACCAACATCAGTGCTTCAGACACAGAAGCACTCCCAGTTGTTTATTAGTTTCTTTTTAAGATTTTTGCACAAAAAAGGTGATTAATAAAAGCGTGGTATGACTTTTTATAGCAGGAAACTAGGAAATCTGGCTGTGCCAGCTGATGAGAAGTGGAAAGCAGTGTTTGATGAATGTTGGCATCAGTTGGGCTGTGAAAGTCCAGGCCAAGGGGAAGTTTGGAAAGCATGGGACAACATTGCTGTGGCCCTGACTGCCAACCGGCGCCAACACAGAGACAGGTGGGTGAATGCTGCCCAGCACAGAGCAGTGCATGGGAGGAAGATGAAACTTAAAACCAACGAGTAGTCAAGGCACACTTAACTTAAAAATATAATTTAAGTCAATGGTATACTTTTTTTTTTCTGGGTAAGACTGATAAAACACCTCCCTCCCCACCTTCTCTTCTACTGAACTCGGCTATAAAACCACACCAAATACATGGCTAGCTATTTGAGCACTGAAAAGTAAATGCCAGCTAGTATCCTGGGAAGAACATCCGAATTCAAAGGACCATTGAACCAGTCATGGGTTAACTAGGTTTTTAAATTGAAATATCCCTCAGCCTGAGCACAGTGTAACCTGGAACGTTGAAGCAGGCACTGTTACTGTATTATAGATTGACAAGAGACCCAGAAAAAAACCTCTGCTTTGGCTCAAGATGCGAAAAAGACTCCTAAAGCTCAGATAGAGTGGGGGAGATACACTGGGCCTTCTTTCTCTCCTCCATTTTCTCATGCTCCAGCCTCCACTACTTCCATGAAGGGGCAATGCCAGCTGTTTGGGAAGCCATGACGGGAAGCTTGCAAGAGCTAAAACTCTTGAGGAAATTCTTTAAAAAAAAAAAAAAAAAATACATTTTTTATAGATTTCAGAGAGGAAGGGAGAGGGAGAGAGAGACAGAAACATCAATGATGAGAGAGAATTATTAATTGGCCGCCTCCTACATGCCCCACACTAGGGATCGAGCCCTGACCTGGAATCAACCATGACCTTTTGATTCATAGGTTGACACTCCACCACTGAGACACACCAGCCGGGCTGTTTTTCTACTTTTTCTTATCCTTTTCTCCTGCTTTTCTTTTCCCCATCCGCCCTTTTTCATATTCTTATTTTTTAACTTAGTAACTCTACAAACATTGCTGAGCATTTAAGTTTGGGTCTTTTTTTTTTTTTTTTTTTTCTGTATTTGGTATAAATGGGAATTGATTATAGTGTTTCATTCATGAAGTTCATGATTTTTACCCTCTACTCCATCAGTGGAAAAAAATAGAAACTTCCAGAATTGACTAAAACTGAGCTTGCCCTTGTGTGTGCTGCAGATGGTCAGCCTTCACTGACAGAGCCTGTTACTGTAGACCTTGATACCTTAGGCCTCTAGTTAATCTAGAATAATGATTGTGTATTGTTCCTAATTTCTGATTGGTAATAATCTAATGATAGCACGTTATTACCAAACATTTCTGCCGATTATAAGTCGTGTGTTTTGTCTTAGCCTCTTTGTCCAAAGCTTCCCTTTACCCATTAATGTGCTTGCCTCATCACCTGCTGTAGCAACCTCATTATCTCCTTACCCCTTGAGCTTATTTTTATTTCTTCCTATGCCCTCTGATTTGATTTCTTTTTTCCTTCGCTCTTCCTTTCCATTTTATTCCATTTTCCTCTCATTACTGACAAATCTATCACCAGTTTTCTCTTCAGGCTGATATAGTATCTTCCAACACCATGGTTTATAGTGGAGTGAAATCTTTATTGTTGTTATGAAGTCACCTTAAATGCTGCTTTGAATGACTGTTAGATAAACTTAATAGAAGGTCAGTAGCCGTATATGTGCTCATTGGGGGCGAACGCTCTTCTAGATCCTCCATTTTATCCTTTCGTTGTCAATTGTTTTATAAGCACATTACAATCATCTTGCTTTCTTGATGTGAAATTCATAAGAGGCTTTCTTTTCCCTTTTATAGTCCAGAGATACTAAGTCGTTCACAGACTCAGACACTAGAGAGTTTGGAGTTCATTCCTCAGCATGTTGGTGCCTTCTCAGTGGAGAAATATGATGACATCAAGAAATATTTAATAAAGGTAAAGCTAGAGTCAAAATTACTCTGGGCTTGTGGATCATTGATGCAGAACCACAACATATCATCCAAGTCTGCTCTCTGCTCATTTTTGTCATTTTCCTGGTTTTGCTTCTATGTATTTCTTTTGTTAATTCTCTCCCTGCTCAGGCCTGTGACACTCCTCTGCACCCCCTGGGCAGGCTCGTGGAGACACTGGTTGCCGTGTATAGAATGACATACGTGGGCGTGGGAGCCAACCGCCGGCTACTGCAGGAGGCTGTGAAGGAGATTAAGTCCTACCTTAAGCGGATTTTCCAACTGGTGAGGTAAGAGATCTTTCCATGAAAAGGTGGCAAGTTGTAGAATGCTAGTTTATACTGTTTAGGTATCTTTGTCTTAAATCTAGAGATTATAACTTGGTGAAGAATCATTAATGTTTTCCTTTATCACAGAAATTATTCATCAAGAAAATGGTTTTGTGCCAGAGATCCTTAAATAGATTGAATCATGAAAGTACATCTTTAATTTATGTTTATGCTATAAATATAAAAAAAAGAAGAACCTTAGCCATTGTGAATTAATTTTCTTTATGTCTTTATTTTTTTTAAATATATTTTATTGATTTTTTACAGAGAGGAAGAGAGAGGGATAGAGAGTTAGAAACATTTATGAGAGAGAATCATCAATCAGCTGCCTCTTGCACACCCCCTACTGGGGATATGCCCGCAACCAAAGTACATGCCCTTGACCAGAATCGAACCTGGGACCTTTCAGTCCACAGGCCGACCCTCTATCCACTGAGCCAAACCGGTTTTGGCCTTTATGTCTTTCTTACTCATTAAGTATAACAGAAGGCTAAAATAGTGTTATTTAACTGTAATTTTGGTATGAAATAGAATAGTCTTATTTGGATTTTATCTCTAGGTACCATCACAGAGAGGATAAAGTTTAATGTGAAGTTTTGTCCCTGAGTATTTATGTCCTGTTCCTTGACAACAGTATCATCTTTGTTCATTTACTCAACAAATATTTATCGAGTGCACCTCTATGTTAGTCACCATTCTAGCTCCTGGGGGAATTTATCAGAATAAAACAACACACACAAAACTTTTTTGAAATCTGTATTGTCCTGGATCTTACATTGTAGTGGGAACAGAGTAGACAAAATATACAATATGAATGCAATCTGGAAAGAGGATGGGGCTGGAGTAAGATGCTGCTGTTTACTAGAAGGTCATGGAAGCCTGGCTAATAAGGTCATATCTGAACAGAGACTTGGAAGGAGTTTAGAAAGCAGGAAAGTAAGCATTTTTTGAGGGCTTGTTTGGAGGTTCTAGCAGGGGAGCGCAGCTACTTGTATACCCTTGACCGAAGACCGGTCCTCTCCTCTTGGGGGAAAGTCGTCCTCTTCGACCGAGCGTGCAGCTTCGGGAGGGACGCACATGGATCGGTGAGGGAGGAGGGGGACACCCGCCTAGCCAGCCAGATCAGCCGAACCAACCCTGGCGATCAATGGGGTGACAGATGTCGCAGCCAGATCGCCCTCACATCCGAAAGTAAGCATTTTTTGAAAGTTTTAAGGCAGTAAGCAAATCTGGAACTGGATGTAAGCCAGCAAAATATTATGTTGGAATAATTATGCAAAAGTTTTTCATTTTATTCCATAAAACTTTCTTAAATTTATGTGGAAATGTTTCAGCTTTTAGGGCATTGTGATCTAAAAGACCCTGGATTGTGAGTATTTCCACTCAGGCATTAGCAAGGGTATAATGAAGATAAGTTTCCTGACTTTTGTTAGCTTTACCAGCTATGAAACTAGGGGATAAGTCTACAAAAATAGAGAAGATTGCAGACTGTATTTAAACAGCAAGGATCACAGTTAAAGTCTGTGTAAAATAAAGAGGACAATAAACTTGTTCGTGGTAAAACCTATCATTTGAGATTAGAGTTAAAATGTAGGGAAAATTCAGAGCCTCGAAGAAAATCCTCAACAATTTGGCAGTTTAATCACTTTAAGATTTTTTCCAGCAACTTGGCTTTTTATATAAACATTGATATTTTTTACTTGAAACCTATATAATTTTATTAACCACCCCAATAAATTCAATGAAAAAGTTTAAAATTTTATAACAATTGGGTTTTCATTTTTTTCTTAACAGACATTTAGTTTCTACTGGTACTTATTTTTACTCTGAGAATAATGGTCTCTGCTCGAAGAGTTTATACAGCTTGACATCAGATGGGATTTTCCAGTAAAAGAAACATAAAGATCAGAATTTTTCATTCTTAAATAACTAGACAGAAAAAAAGCCATAGCACATGAAGATTTTTAGTGGTATTATTCATTAGCAGCATTCTTAACTTTATTCTGTTAGAAGCATCCATTAAGAAACTCAGACAACTAAAATATTTAGTTGATATAAAGTTTGATTTCATGGATCCTTAAATAGATTAGTTAATGGGAAAGTGTTTTTACTCTTTCAGCCTCTCTTGACGTGTAATTCCTTAACTACATGTTTTATTACTCCTTAGGTTTTTATTTCCCGAGCTTCCTGAAGAGGGCAGCACAATTCCTCTCTCCGCTCCCCGGCCCACAGAAAGGAAATCCTTCTGCACTGGGAAGTCAGATTCCAGACCCGAATCCCCGGAGCCGGGGTAAATGGAGGTGGTGGAGATGGTGAAGAAAGGGGGTGGCGGCCAAATGACCCCAGAAAAGTTGTTTTCTCTCGATCTCAGCTTCCTTATTTCTAAAGTGATGTGGTTGGGCAGGTGATCTCTGAGGTTCGTTTAGCTCTCAAGTTCATGAAAGTGCAGCCCCAAATGACTGGGCACAAAGGCTGCCGAGGAAAGCCACCTTATGCTGACCTAGAATAATCGCCGAGAAATCATCTCACAAGTGGGTTTCCAGTGAGATTTCGGGTTATGAAAACAGTTCACAGTTGGTCCAAGACAAACTCAGGGGCTAATTAGCTCCTCATGTGAACTCCATGTGGAAAAGTAGAGTAATATTATAACTTCTCCTTTACTCAATATTTCCCACCTCTACTTTCAACTTTGATTCTGCATTGAGTTTTAATATGAATGATTCTCCCTGTCATTTCACTGTTTCGTAGTTACGTGGTAACCAGTTCTGGGTTGCTGCTTCCTGTGCTCCTGCCTCGGCTCTACCCACCTCTGTTCATGCTCTACGCCCTGGAGAACGATCGTGAGGAGGACATTTACTGGGAGTGTGTTCTGCGACTGAACAAGCAGCCAGATATCGCCCTGCTGGGCTTCCTTGGGGTTCAGAGGTACGTACAGCAGTTATGAGTGGAATCAAGTGGTTTTAATTTAAAATGTAAATAGCATTATCAGGAACTGAGTACTTTGATATCTAATTATGTATACAATTTGCAGTTTATTCACTTATTTGCATATCTGTCTTATTTCACAAAATAGTGATATTTAACAATCTTTATTTTTAAAGATGAGTATGGACCCAATTATTCTTTAGAAAGTATTTTTCATTTGTGTGTGTTCATGCTATATATATATATATATATATATATATATATATATAATTTAAATTTGAGTTATAGTACTGATATTTTACAGATTTTAAAGCAAAATATATATACATTCATATTTTCAAAGAAAGCTAATTGTATTTAGTCTTGGGTATGCTTCCTTCCCTTCTTGTTCCTCCTTCCCCATACAAAATTTCTAATTCAAAAGTTTTAGACGGGCTCTTTTGAAAGGTATGGTTTTTTATTATTCCAGGAGAATACTAAGTGATTATGCTTTCTTGTGTTAAGGCTGATCACCCCAATGCCCATTAATTATATATTTGTGCTAACAAAAAAAGGGAATAAACCTGAATTGGAAAGTAAATCTTTTCAGTGGGAAATAATTTAATAATAAAGATGAGATTAATAAAACTGAGTGAAGGAAAGATTTTGGCCATTATTAGGTCATATTTGTAATGTATAGGGATTTTGGAGTATAAAATAACAGATCCATAATGGACATGATAGACCTTAAATTAATTCTGGAATGTTTATTAAAACTTGATCTGTCTGTGGTGCAGGTATTTTAATGGGGACAGGAAAGCCAGTATAGCCATCACCTGTTTTTATGGGGGTTAATTTACCATAAGTAACAACTTGTATTGACAAAGTATGGATTCCATTGCAGGAAGTTTTGGCCAGTGACCTTGTCAATCCTTGGAGAGACTAAAAAGGTATAGTAGATTTTAGTTTCCTTAGCAATTGTGCTTTCCTTTGGAAGGGGCGATTTGAGATACTAGAAATTTCCATCTCACTTTGGTAGAATAGTACCCAAGCATGAGTTACTCACCAAAGACCCGCATTCTGCCATTGGTATTGTTTTATTATTAGAGTAAAAGATAGCTTTTCTCATTGAGCTTCATAAATACTCTTTTTGCAGGTTTTGCCAACCACAAAAGATGCTTGTTTTGCCTCAGCCGTAGAATGTCTACAGCAGATCAGGTAATCTCTTATTTGTTGGAAAAAAACATATAAATCAAACTAGTGGTTAGTCTATTAAGATACTAATGAGATCTTGTTTTTACTTAAGCTCTAAGCGCCCCTTCCCTCCTAGATGTTGTCAAACTCAGCTTGGAAACAAGAAAGGTTCTTTTGAGACATGTTTCCTTTCATGCTACAAAGCCCTTGTATTATCAAAAGTAGAGCGCCTACCCAGAAACTTACCTATACAATCACATCTTTAGCCAAATGGAAATTAAATTTCCTCAGAGAAGAGCATACAATAGGAAAATAAGATCCACTTGGTGAAAGGAGATGACGTGTGATTTAGTGAATTCTTCCAGGTGAATCATAGATAGTTGGAAGTTTCTTTTCCCAGAGAACCATTGGGTTGCAGAGGTCAACACTTCAGCGACTCATGCCTGATGTACCCCAGGAGGGAATACTCTCAAAAAAATTAGTAACAAATGGCTTTCTTAAGAAAATTAACAGTATCTTTTTTATCTTTCTCCTCCTTTCCCCCCAACAGCACAACATTTACCCCATCAGACAAACTGAAGGTCATCCAGCAGACTTTCGAGGAGATCTCTCAGGGCGTCCTGGCGTCTCTGCAGGAGGACTTCTTGTGGTCCATGGACGACCTGTTTCCTGTTTTCTTATATGTGGTGCTACGGGCCAGGTGACCGGTCTTTCTGACTTCAATGCTAGTGACCACTTATTTCAACATGTGTGCCTTTTGCTTTTTTTTTTTTTTTTTTTGAACTGATGACAGGAATATGCTCCCCCAAACTAAAAAAATTCTATTTCTATTAAACCATTCCATTATGTCATTACCTCTTAGTTGAGCTATTTTTTTCTTTCCCCCTCAAATAGATTCAGAAGGAAGATGTACACATAAATGATTAAATATCTTTTTCTCATTGGGCAGGATTAGGAATTTGGGCTCTGAGGTACATCTCATTGAGGATCTAATGGATCCATACCTTCAGCATGGGGAACAGGGCATAATGTTCACTACCTTGAAGGTAAGTATAGGTGTTATTTAATATTATCTTAAAATCTACCTTTCAGTTACCATAGTATATATCTGACATTAGCCAGTTGTCTTCTTTATATAAGTTTAATGCAAACATTAAGTGCCTTTATTGCACATGTCCTATATAATAAAAGCCTAATATCGAACCAACTGGTTGCTATGATGCTCACTGACCACCAGGGAGCAGATGTCCAACACAGAAGCTGCCTCCTGGTGGTCAGTGTGCTCCCACAGGGGGAGTGCCGCTCAGCCAGAAGCTGGGCTCCCAGCTAGTGAGCGCAGCAGTGGTGGCAGGATCCTCTCCTACCTCTGCTGCACGTGAATCAGTAAGGAGTGAGGGGTCCTGGACTGTGAGAGGGCACAGCCCAAGGTGAAGGATTACCGCACCCCCCCCTCAGTGCACAAATCTCGTGCACCAGGCCTCTAGTTGTTAATATTTTAAAATATGATATATTAAGGAAATTGACCCTCTAAAATATTAAAGCAAATTATTCACCACCCAATCTCCTTAGAAATTGATAATTCAAAGTTTTATAAATGCTTATAAATGTAGAGCATTTATATAAATGTAATTCGGAAGAAAAACAGAAGGATTCATTGTGTCCAAAAACTTTCCAAGCTACTTAGTGGTACTAATGTAAAACACAGGAGGCAGTATGTAAAGAATGAATATAAATTGCATCTTCTTTCCCCCCATATATTACTGTAGCCAATAGGTACAAATGAGGTTCTCTGATCTGGGTTCTCTAGGGATTGTTGAAAGCTATTTTGCTTCCCCCACCTCAGTTTTTCTTGGACTATGGTAGAATCATTGTGAAGTTTATTGGAAGAACAACAGAAAGAAAATGACAAAAATATTTCTGAAAAAAGGAGAGGAAGAATAAACCCACTCTGCCAGTTAGTAAAATGTCATACAGTTACAATAATTAAGATAGTATATCAGCCGAAACTGGTTTGGCTCAGTGGATAGAGTATTGGCCTGCAGACTGAAAGTTCTCAGGTTCGATTCCAGTCAAGAGCATGTACCTTGGTTCCGGGCACATCTCAGGTAGGGGGTGTGCAAGAGGCAGCTGGTCGATATTCATTGATAAGAGCCGCATGTGGCTCAAGAGTCACATGTGGTTCACGGGCCGCAGTTTGCTGACCACGGCTTTAGGGTAAAAGATAGAAAAGGGGAGAAAGAAGGAAAGGCAGACATTAAAATGAAGGGAAAACTAAATTTAATGTCAGATTTCTGCCTTGGTTAATTTTTTAACTTTCCAACTTAAATACCATTTTTATTAAATAAACTGAAAAAGGGTGGTGGGAACTGACCAACAATGACTTACTTATTAACTACTTATGTTATTGAAGAGCATCTCTAAACATATCACCGAGGAAGAAACTGAATTATTACACTTACATGTAGGAAAATGCTCACACTTACTGAATATTGTAGTTCCACAGATTTAAACACCGTGTCATTTTGTGCCTACTAAACTAGCAAAAATGTTTTAAAATATATCCACTGCTGATGGGTTATGGTGATATCAGTATTATTCCCAATATTGCTGATAATTGATTAAATAATAGTCACCCTTTTGGAAAACAGTTGTTATTAACATTGATGTCAACAACATCAAAAATGTTTGTGGAGTTTGAGTAGTCCTACTCTTGGAGATTTATAATTAAAGAATGGGAAACATTACATATTATTTGGATGAGGTGTTGTTTGTAGTGTGAGCAACTCCCAGGCCAGGATACTTTCAGAATCACCAAGTGATGCTTTTTTAAAATGTTCCTAGAAATTCTGACTCAGTAGGTGTGGAATGATGCTTAATCTGCATGTTTACCAAACATGATGATTCTGATCATGGTTATTTGTGTATCTTATAATGAGCAGCATTCACTAAATGTCCAGTTAATAGTGCCTTAACAAATTATAGTATTACTTAGTGAAGAATATTATACTGCTTGTAAAAAGTTTTTTGTTTTGTTTTTTAACTAGAGGGAAATGCACAAAATTGTATTTCTATTAATTACAGCTAGACAATATAGACAGACATTGGATCGGAGTCTGGAAAAGAACAGGGAAAATGAAAGCAACTGATTTTATTGGGCCATCAAAATCAATAAGGGATTTCCTTTCTTCAGTCCCATGCGCATTGCTATTATATGTTTATATAATTTCTTTCTAAGTAAATTTGAAATTGTTTTGATTTTTTTCAGGCATGTTACTACCAGATCCAGCGTGAGAAGCTTAACTAGGTTGCGTAGCAGCTAACAACTGGATTATCTCCACAGAGTGTTATAGCACCATCTGGCACCTTCCTGTAGTGGCAAAAAAGAATGATCTTGAAGTTAGGATGTTGTGTTATTTTGGTCATTTCTGAGCCTTACTAATGATCAGAGCTCTGAGCCCAGAGGAAGAGACTGTACAGTTTAAAAGGGAGATTGAAAAGGAGGTAGAATTCAGATTGGACCAGTCCCTGGTCTATGTTAAGTTCCCCAACTCTCATCTACAACGGTTTGGAAAAAGAGGACATGCCTTCCGTCCCTTCCTCAGCGGAGGGTATGCTGCTCCACACGTCAGGAAGGCCCTCCGTGGAGCTTCCTACGTTAAAGAAGTTGATGGATATTTTTGAGTCTCTGGTTTGCCTGCAGTTACTCCAGACCCTTTTGCAAGGAGCAGCTTGTTCTCGAAACGACGGTAACCACACTTTGCCTTCCTGAGTTCCTTGCAAACCGGGGTGCATCCTGCTGCTTTGCTGAGACAGGGGCAAGAGGAACTTTTAAACTGCAGTTTTAACTTTTTCTAAGCTTTTCCACCAGGGTATTCATCATGGGAGAGAGGTTCAATATAATAACCAACAAATTCCAACCCCAAACAAGGATCGTGTCCAAATAGGAGTATTTGCCTCCTGAGTAAAAGAACATAGGAATTTTGTCCCTGGTTTCCTTACAATGAATGCTACAGAGTGAATACACTGGACTCCATACTGACTCTGAGCTGCTGCGGATCCTCCCCTGTCCACAGGCAAAGGCTGTGCCCGAGGCCTGGGAATGAGGTGAAGACTTTTGCATGCAGGCTGCAGCGGAGCCAAGACTGGGAGACAGGGAAGCGGAGACCTGCATCCGTCCCTGACCTGGTGCTGTGCTTCCCTGCGCCTCCCATGGGACTCACAGGGGAAGGAAAAGGAAACGAGCTCGGCTTTTCCCATCTGACACGTATTATGACACCTCAACGTCGTAGTGTTCTGCTTTTTTTTTTTTTTTTTTTTTTTTTTTTTATGTTGTAAGCGGTGGTTTATACTGTACAAGTAACACTAGTAGCTGTTTGGATAACAGGTGCTCTTCCTCATCTCATCTGCACACGTGGGGAGCGTACGGAGTGTCCTCCTGATTTGTTAAACATCAGCAGATGCTAACTTAAACAGGATCATGGTTTCTGCTCTACTTTATAATCAAGACGAGTGTTTATTAAAATATTGTTTTGGAATGTTGGCTGTAATGTAACAGCAATTTTCCTAATAAAAGACATTCATCTTTATGAGGTTGTTTTGATTGCAGAGGAAATGACACAGGGCAGCCTGCAGTTATAAAAAAAAAAGCCAGGCTTCGTGTTTTGGTGCCCATATTGTCATCTGTGCCTCAGGTTCCTCGAGGGTCCTAGACATCTCTCTCTCTAAAACAAACTAACTTAATTATAATTATGACACCTTTAGTGACAAAGGACAAATTATTAACCTTCTGATCCTATTAACCTGAGGACAAGGGTCTTAAAACAAGTCTGTTATTTCTTTGAATAAAAGGCATATTTTGATAGTTACTGGGTTTTTATGTTTGTTTTGTTTTTTTCATTTTTGTTTTGTGGGGGGTTTTTTTCTCTCTCTCTTCCTTAAACAGATACAGGGAAGGGAGGAGTAAGGATTTAAAATCCTGGTTAGAAATGTTAGGCCTTAGCCAATCATCTCCTTGTTGTAATGTCTTCTCAAGAAGCCTGGTGCTTTCCGCCCAAATGGGCCTGAATGGGCCTGCTCGCTGCAGAGGACGACAGCACAGGAAGATCAGTGAATGTGATACACTTTTCATTTCCATTAGGGAATGCTTTGACTTTTAAGTAAACTTCGAATTCCACATTTGACTTATAAAGGCAATTGTACTGAATGCCTTTGACCCCCTAGGAGATAGAGATGGGGATAACTGTGGAAATAGACAGAGAAAGACTTAAGACTCACTGAGTTCTAAAATGCTGGTAGGACATCTCAGTTCTTTAAAAAAAAAAAAAATGTTACAAGTCATCCTTTTATTGGAGTCATGAATGAAACTACCCTGTTACTTTAATTTCTTCTTACTGTACTTATACTTTTCAAATATCATATTAAAGTTATAAAATTCCAATTCTCTTGGGGGGGAAAGCCCTAAAACTCCAGGCCAGTGTCTATAGCAATTTGCAAGGACCTCTCACCCTGATGATGCTCAGCAGCCCGGGAGGCAGGGGTTCACCCCACAAATTCCACTTTGTAGACGAGTGGCTATGATTCACTTCCTGTTAGAGCTGAGCCTCGAACCTAGAACTTCCCAGTGCTCTTCCCTCCCACAGCTACAGAGATGTCATTTTATACAGGGCATGCATTAAAAGTTCAAAAGTGAAAAGTGAGTTGGAGATAAAACTTTTTTTTAATCCTCACCTGAGGATGTTTTTCCCTTGATTTTTTTAGAGTGGAAGAGAGGGAAAGAGAAATAACGATTGAGAAACATCAATTGGTCGCCTCCTGCATTCTCCCTGACTAGGGCTCGGGCCAGGGAGGAAGCGTGCAGCCAAAGTATGTGCCCCCTGATCCGAATCAAACCCAGGACCCTTTGATCCACAAGCTTTTCATAAAACATTCACAAAAGTATCCATTCCCAGCTTGGATTTGATCTACAGTGGAGAACAGGGGAAAGCCATATGTTAATGTAGGATAAAGGGGCTGATAAACCTTATAATCGCTATTTGGTCTTGACCCTTTGCCTTGCTGTCAGCAGCACCCTTTCTCTTGTTTTCTGTGATGCCTACTTTCAAAGCTCTTCCCCCCTCCCTGCAATATGAAATGTTCAGACAAAGAAGTAGCTACAATCTGAGACGGGATGGGCAAACCATACATTTCAGAGCAGTGGCTTGGTAGGGGGCCTTCCAGAAGGAACTGTTGTTGTCTTCCATCCTTTTCTCACCACAGCGTGAGAAAATTAGTAAGGTTAATAGGCTTACTCTCAGGTAGGTATCTCCACAGTTTTTCACTAACAAAATGCTCTCCTCTGTTGCGGGTTGTCTGTGATGCTGAAATACTCAACACAAGCATGAATCTTTAACCATTAACAATGTGCTGACAATTTGAGAGAGGAAATATTAAAGGAAGGCTAAAAATGAAAGAAATTACACAGACTCTTCAGGGTAAGGATTACTTAAGAGTTGTGCCAGGGGAGGCTTGGGAGGTCATTGAATGGTTAGGCTGTGGATTAAATCAAAGAGGATGTGCAGAGATTTAATCTGGAACTGCGAGGTGACTGGCAGCTGATAGCAGCTAATTTCCCGCTAAAGCTTTTCTCTCGAGACCAGCAACACTACGCACTTGCAGCCTCACAGGTAAGACACCCTGCCGAGGGGTCCTCAGTACCAGCGATCCACCTGACTGCCCTTCTGTCCGTTTTCAATAGCTACAGGTACAGGCCTGGGCTTTCTGGTCTAAGTGGTTTAGTAGCATTTAGCAGCATTCCAGAAATTTCAGTGTGTATTAAAGCTGTGCAAAAGTACTTTGTATTTGTAGGTAAAGAAAATTATTGTGGCCATTATTGACTTGGTATAAAACAGGCCTTAAATAAATGCTTGTCTATTGATTCCAAAAAAAAAAAAAGGGGGTCGGGGGAGGGGTTGAGTTCTAGGCTCAAGCTAGTTCTAGAGGTTTTCTTCCAGCCACAGGCAAGTGCAGTGGGCATTTGAAGGTTCTCCAGGCAATGGCGTGATTCTTCATTGTCAAGGGAGGGAAACTTCCTCAAAGAGCCGTGGGCCGGTTCCCCTGCCCTCATTTCCTCATGCCCCCTTCCCCTGGTCTGCTGGCTGAACGACGTGATGGATGGCGCCCAGCCACCACCTGGAGCAGGAGGGTGAGGAGCACACTGCCTCCGGGGTGGGGGAGGGCTGAGTGGAAAGAACCCACTTTGAGAACCTCATGGAGGAAGGCTGCCCAACCAGCCCGGGGCCATCTCCGCCTCTGGACGTTTACATGAGCAACATATAAACTTCTGTTAAGCCACTGTTGTTTGGGGTTTCTGTTTCTTGAAATTAAACCTACCTAAAGCAGCCCAGCCAGTATAGCTCAGTGATTGAGCGCTGACCCGTGAACCGGGAGGTCCCAGGTTCGATTCTGGTGAGGACACATGCCTGGGTTGTGGGCTGAATCCCCAGTAGGGGGCATGCAGGTGGCAGCTGATTCATGATTCTTTCTCATCCTTTATGCTTCTATCTTTCCCTCTCCCTCTCTCTGAAATCAATTAAAACATATTTTAAAAGATAAAGAAATAAACCTGCCTAAACCAATATAGAAAGTAATCTCTAAGAGTGGCTCAGCAGTAACACACGACTCTGGCACAATGAGAGAACGGGGCTCCTGAGTCAGTCAGGCCAGGGAAGCTTCTACGCTCTGAGTGATCTAAGATCAACGAGGCAAAGCAGAGGGAGTGTTTTGCGAAACAGCAGTTTTCTCTTTTGCACAACTAGCGATGATCACAGAGTAAGGACCACAGGGCAAGAATTTCTTGTTTGAGGAGGATCCCAGTGTGCAGCACAGTGCCTGGCTCGCCCGCCCAATAAGTGCGTTGAAAATACATTTCAGGGCCCCAAAAGCTCCATGGCCAGCGTGGTTGAGTGAGCGGTGTGCTGTCTATTGATCTGTTCCCCGGGCCTGGATTCTTTGTGGGAGCTCAGGCGGGAGGATGATACCCTCAGACAAAGGCGCAGACATTCCTAACACGGAGGACCTGACGCGTTCTACACCGTCCAATCCCGAGAATGGTATGTGACTCCTTTTTCTAAACTAGGATGGCCTGATACCATCACTCTGGATGGGTGATCAAATACATGGGTAAAATTCTGGTAGATTTACTGTGATTCCTATAGATCCTGTACATTTTTGAATGTCCTACCACATGTATTGGTTATAAGTCTAAGTAATTTTCAAGGCAGAGAGGAAAGATATGGAGGTCTTACTTAAAAGTAAAGCTTCATAAATTGTTCACATTCAAAGTGTTGCGGCATCAAATAGAATTCCTATAAAAACGCTCCTAAAAATCCAAGCATTCACAAAAACCTGCCCAGTCCCTTTAGTCAGTGGAATCCTGAGGTGTATATTAAAACCTTATTGGGAGTTAGAGTTTTTCAATAACACCTTCAATAAGCATTTTCAGAAAGTGTAAAGACAAAGGACTCTATGTTTGAATTAGGGAAGGAGGACCCAGAATAGATAATTTGGAATAAGCCAAAGCTGGTAAGATTGGGGAGAATATAAACAATATTGCTCTCACCACATCTTCCACCTGTGTACTATGACCTCGTATTTCACCAGGTGTTAGCAGCAGCCCTATGGGAGAGCCAGCATATTCTCTTCTTGCCGCAGGCACCTGGGTTCCAGGTAGCTGGCTGACTTTCTGAGCAAGTGACAGAATAGGGCCTGAAGGCAGATCTTCTGGGCTCAAACTCAGTGTCATCGCCACCCTCAGCGCCATCTGTCCCTGTGGCACGTCTCAGCTGGCTTGTCCTTCTCATGCACTCTGCTTTCCTTGCCTCCTCCACCTGCCTGCCACCCTGACTGCCCTCTGCCTTTCCCAGGTCTCTCTCAAACCCTGAGGCTTGTGCTGCAAGAGCTGAATCTGTTCTACAGCCGAGACGTGAGCGGACTGTGTCTCCTGTACGACCTCCTCCACTCCCCGTGGCTGCAGGCTCTGCTCAAGGTGCGCCTGACACTCAGAGGCCTTGGCCCATCCTGGGGGCAAGAACCGCCTACCCAGCCGGGCCGTGGCCCTGGCAGGAAATCCCAATGGGGAAAAATGTTCTTTTTTAAATTTGTTAAGTGTATTTTTTAAAATATGTTTTATTGATTTTTTTACAGAGAGGAAGGGAAAGGGAAAAAGAGCTAGAAACATCAATGAGAGAGAAACATCGATCAGCTGCCTCCTGCATACTCCCTATTTGGGGATGTGCCTACAACCAAAGTTCATGCCCCTGACTGGAATCGAACCTGGGAACCTCCAGTCCGCATGCCTGTGACAGGCAGAAGTTCTGTCCATTGAGCCAAACCGGTTTTGGCTGTTAAGTGTACCATATTTTCCGGTGTATAAGACGACCCCCTAATCTTACAGTGAAAACATAGGTTTAGGCCTATATTCGCTGTATAAGACTATCTCCCACTTTCGAGGCAACACCAGTTCTTTTTTTAATAAACCACCTCTCTGACTCTTGCCAATCTGAGCAGGCTTTTTACTAGAACACAGTGTAGCTTCGGGTACAGAACATGTACACTGTGTTCTAGTAAAAAGCCTGCTCGGATTGGCCAGCGTCAGAGAGGCAACTGGTGTTGCCTCGGAAGTGGTGCAGCTCCTGCTGTTACTCCACCTTGGGGATGCTGGCACCCAGGATGTCCGAGGTTCTGTGGTGGACACGCCCTTCTTGTTCTCGTTCCCCTGCCCTCTGCAGGTTTATGACAGCCTCCAGGAATTCAAAGGGAAGAAACTGCTTCCAGCCACCTCCCGGGCACAGGCGCTGTCCCACGAGGTGAGGTGGCTTTTAGTCCCCAGAGCAGCAGAGCTGGAAGGGGCTGCATTTCACTGCCAGAGCTTCTTAAAGAAACCAGCGGCACTCATGGCTAAGGCTGGTGGATGATTATGCATCTGCTGACGGTTTCTCATGGAGCTTTACTAAAAGGGGGGGAACTGGCCGCTGTCCCCCACATTAAACAATTTCACAATGTGTGCCTTCTCCCCGACCAGGTGGTGGAGGTGTTACATGCGGCCCCTGGTTCCCCTGAGACCCAGGAGCTGAGACAGATCCTCCAGGCTCCGCACTTTGAGGCAAGTGCTTGCTAAATGGACAAGACACCCCTGCCTGGCCCATAGGCAGAGCGGGGAAAGGGAAGAAATGCCAGGGAAATGTGCTCTCGGAAGGCAGGTCCTACTGCTGTATATGGGGACCTGCCCTTTGTACCAAAGCATGCAGGAGCCGGATATGTCATTGTGTCTTACACAGCATCAAGTCGCTGTTTTCTAGTCAGCTCTGTCCTACGTGTGACGTTTGTTCACCTTGCCCTTCCCTATCCCCAGGCCTTGCTCCGTGCCCATGACACTGTGGCTCAGAGAGACTTTGAGCCCCTTCTGCCCCCACTGCCGGACAACATCCCCGAGGGTGAGGAAGCAATGAGAATTGTTTGTTTGGTGAAGAACCAACAGCCCCTGGTAAGACAGCCGTTTTATAGTTCCCGTTAGGATTATACCGGGGTTCACTGTGAACTAGATTATCTCTAGCGGCTTCCTGGCCATACTCTTGCCTGTGGTACCAGGCACAGTCTGAGGCACTCAGGACATGGGAGGGGCACTCAATTCCAATGTATTTCACTCAATTCTAATGTATTTGCCTAAGTTCTTCCCCCATCCCCGCCCCCATTAATGGGAAGCTAAGAAAGGCATTCTTTTGATTTTCTAAGAATAGCCTCCTTGATTAGTTGTAATTCTGGGATGTTTCTTTATCTCTGGAAGGCTCTACATGTGGTTATGTCTGTGCGGTTAGAGAACTCAGGCAGCTGCTGTTGCATGGCCTTTCCCTTTTTTTTTTTTTTTTTTTAAATATATCTTTATTGATTTCAGAGAGGAGGAAGGGAGAGGGAGATAGAGATAAAAACATCCATGATGAGAGAGAATCATTGACTGGCTGCCTCCTATACTTCCCCACAACCCAGGCATGTGCCCTTGACTGGAATCGAACCTGGGACCCTTCAGTATGCAGGCTGACGCTCTGTCCACTGAGCCACACCAGCTAAAGCGGCCTTTCCCTTTTGATGGCTTGGGATGGCCCTGCTCGGTATGAATGCCTTCATCTGAAAGACCAGAGCTCTGCTGAGGGAAGCCAGCAGAATGATCCTGAAGCTGAGAGAGGAACCCGTTGTACTCTCTTCCCAGGGAGCCACCATCAAGCGCCACGAGATGACCGGGGACCTCCTGGTGGCCAGAGTGATCCGCGGCGGGCTGGCCGAGAGGAGCGGTAGGCCGACGCCCCAGGGTACAAGAGGGACGGGGAAACTAGGCAACGCTCGGTAGTTTAGTCTTTGGGGCAGGAAAAGCCCTCTGTCCTAACCAAGGGTGGGGCTGTGATAAGTGCCGTTGCATTGCTTGGTTACCAAAGAAAGAAGGGATACATATGCCAAAGGAATCCTATTCCTCCTTCTCTGAGCTTCTCCGCCTGAGCTCCATCATCATGTTCTCTCTAAATACCGTATTATCATGCCATTTTACCGAGGGGGAACTGAGGCTCACGGTGATTAACGAACTTGCTCCATTTGAGTTGGGATTCAAGTCCCGGTGAGCCTCATTCTATCTTCTCAACTTTCACTCTTCACTCGGTCCTCCTGCTCTCAAAAGGCATAGCTCTTCCCCCTCCTGAAACGCCTCTCGCTGGCCCTTCCTTCCCGCCATGAACCTTCCACTCTGTGCTACTGGAGCCAGCCGCTCTGTCCCTGCCGCCCCTGTCCTCACTGTCCATGACCCCAAACCCAGGCACAGCCTTTTACCCCGACATCCTTACAGTAATCACCCGGGATCTCCTAGTAGCTAAGTCCTCTGGCCCTTCCTCCAGCCTCTCTGGCGCATGTGATGTTGTTGACCTTGCCTTTCTTGAAACTGTCATCCTCCTTGGTTTCTTCCAATGACATCATCCTGCTTCTTGTCTCCCCTTTCTCTCCGCCCCACTGTTCTGCTTCGTATTTCTCAAGGCTTGATCTTCACCCCCAGGTTTCTCCACGGGGTCTCTCTTGAGGTGTTCCCCCCTTTCCTTTCCACTTATCATTTCCTCAGGACCCTGACATCTTTACTTGTAGTGTTATCTTCTAACCAGTGATCCAGTTTCCATTACACAACCACAGATTAGCAAACATAAAGATGCCGCCATCAATTAATACTCAGGGTTGGCGGGGAAGTAGAAAATGCAGTCCCCCTGCACTCTGGCGGTGGTGTAAACTAGGATAACTGCTTTGCTCTATTACTAACAGCATTAGTATTTCACTGTCAGAGCCCGCCTGAGTGAGCGGCTTTGTCACAGAGCTTTGGGACAGGTGCCTCTGTCTTCTCCAATACCGTTGTCCCCTTCTCTGTTTTGTGTTCCCGGCTGCCCAGGTTTGCTTTATGCCGGAGACAAACTGGTGGAAGTGAACGGAGTTGCGGTTGAGGGACTGGACCCTGAGCAAGTGATCCACATTCTGGTAACTGTCTCCTCTTGGCCGTTGCGTGCCTCACCGAGATGCCAGGCTGAACGAGCCATGCAGCCCCTGATGTGTCCACCGAGTGCGAGAGGACTTCATCCCTCTCCTCATGTCCTCTCTCCAGGCCCCAGACCCCGTCTGTTTCTGTATGCCATCCCCCTGCCCAGGACAGAGCAGAGCTGAACTTCTTCCTAATTTCCTATTTAGCTGTGACCCCTTGTGAAAGTTCCTGTGGAGGAAACCACTGTTACACTTGAGCATTTGAGTTGGAGCTCCCTGTGCTGAGTCCCAGGAACTCCCCGAACTCGGCCATTTGTCATTCTTCCCCCTCTGGCATTTTCCAGGCCATGTCTCGCGGCACAATCATGTTCAAGGTGGTTCCAGTTTCTGACCCGCCTGTCAACAGCCAGAAGATGGTGAGAATGTACTGCGTCTTCGTGCTACTATTCTCTAGACTGTTGTGCCCTTCTTCAATACTGTGTATATTCCTCAATACTGATGACATGAGAGGCAAATGAATAAAGGAATACAATAAAAGGAGATGAGGTACCAAGAAGTTAAGAAGTCATATAAAGAATGGCGAACCTTCCCCAGCTGGGTTGGCTCAGTGGATAGAGTATCGGCCTGCAGACCAAAGGGTTCCGGGTTCGATTCTGGTCAAGGGCATGTACCTTAGCTGCAGGCTCCTCCCCGGCCTGGGCCCTGGTTGGGGCTCATAAAGGAGGCAACCAATGGATGTGTTTCTCTCACATTGATATTTCTCTCTGTCTTTCCCTCTCTCTAAAAATTAATGGAAAAATATCCTCAGGTGAGAATTGAAAAACAAGAAAAAAGAATGGTGAACATTTGAGCAAAACCTCTGAGAACTAAGATTATATTCCTAGAGTCACTTTTCCCATAGCTCTTAGACTCAGTTCAAGAGGCAAGCCCTCCTTTTCTGTGAGGATGGAGAGGACAGGTAGAACGGTAGATGGAAGAATGGAAGAAAGTTCTGTCTGGGTGGCCCAGGGGTGCACAGGTTCTTCCGATAGTGCCATTATGCACCCCCCCACCCCCGTCAGGTGTATGTTCGAGCCATGACTGAGTACTGGCCCCAGGAGGACCCCACCATCCCCTGCACGGAGGCCGGGCTGCCTTTCCAGAAGGGGGACATCCTTCAGGTCGTGGACCAGACTGATGCGCTGTGGTGGCAGGCCCGGAAGATCTCAGACCCGGGCACCTGTGCAGGCCTCATCCCTTCCAGCCACCTTCTAACCAGGTGAGGCGCGGGCGGCTCCTGGGCTCAGCGCTGAGCCACCAGGAAAGAGAGCGTTACGCAGGCTTCGTTCCTGCAGTTCAGATGAGAAGAGAGAGACAGGCAGATGGACAAACTCACACACTGGCTTATAAACCCAAGTGCCGACGTATCCATATGCCCTACGCTTATTAAATACTGAAGGATTCGAATAGTAATACCAGTTAGAAACTAGGGAAAACACGTAGGAAACCAAATTAAACTTTAAGTGGTAGTTCCAACTCCTCTCTCAACCTTCCAAGGATGAGTTGAAACCTCAGATTCTGAAGCTCAACTCATCACCCTCGCTTCTGTGCTGCTGAGTCCAAGGGAGTAAAGACAAAAACAAAACAAACAAAACAACGTTTTTACAAGGTGGAAGGCTCAGCCCATGTAAAGAAACCAGGAAGTCGAAAAGAAACTAGCAACGGATATTGAGAATAAATAATGAAGCAGGATGAAAATCAAAACAGTCTGGTGTTCTGATCCACTAGGTCAATTGCTGTTGAGCAGTCTGAGAACTGACTGTTGAATTTAGCAACATGGATGTTTTTGGGGGTCCCGATAAAAGTGATTTCTGGGGCAGAGGGTAGGGATGAGGGCAAAATGTTAGAAGAGGTATTTGTGTGCCTGACAGCATCTTCGAGAATTAGGGCAGACCGTGAGTGAGCAGGAGTAATCTGAGGTCGCCAAAAGGAGGGGGTTGGGGGGGATAATAGTCAGAGCTAGGGATTCTAGGGAGGAGGGAGAACAATCCGGAGATACTCTGACAAGCAAGGACACAGACCGAGCTCCAGGCAAATGATACGCTGGGCCGGCTGACAGCCGCTGTGTGCCCCTCTCTCAGTCATGCTCAGCGAAGTCAGGGTGGCAGCTGGAAGGAACAGAGACATTAGAGGAACTGGCAAAAGCTACATATCGGGGTTCCCCTGCCCCAGAGCTGCTGTGCCTGACACCACTGGGAGGGGGAGGGGCCAGGTTCCTCCTGGAAAGGTGCGGGCACAGCTGGCCTCAGGGAGACCTGGGCTTTCTGAGAGCGAGGATTGAAGAGCTGGCTCACAGGCGGGGCTGGGTGTGTGTGAGAGGGCTCAGGGAGGGGCCTGGTGGGCAGTCTACAGGGATTAGAGTGTAAGGGAAAGGGGTGACCTGAGCTCTGGGGGCTGAGGACACAAACAGGGATAAAGGCCCAAAGAGATCCTTCTCCATGGTCTCCTGAGGGCAGATGTGGCGAGGAGGCTCTGGGGGGTCCTGCACGGGGCATACGAAATGCCAGGGGTATTGGACAAGGAGCAATAGCAGGAACTGTCTCTAAAGGAATGGTGGAGGGCAGGCATCCACAGCCAGAGGGAAACAGCACCTGCTAGAACATTCTAGTGAGACCAGCTGAGAAGGGGAGGGAACTAGTGGTCACGGGCACATTTTTACTCTAAGTCAGTGTGGCTCTAACAATATCCCATGAGGCAGGAGACACATGAGAAAGGCGGTGTGTTTAGAGAATGTATTTGACAATGCGTTTGGGGAAGAAATCTTTTTCCCTTGGGCAGAGGCAGCAAGATTCTAGGAACATTCTGACCTGGATCTATGCCTCCTGGGTTGACCTGGGTTGATTTTTCTTCTCATAGTGCATTTCTTTTTTTGTAGGAAGCGACGAGAGTTCTGGTGGTCTCAGCCATACCAGCCCCACACCCACCTCAAATCACCCACCTGTGAGTGTGCTGACATTTCAATCCCAGCACGTGCACCGTGGCAAACTGGCTTCCTGCCCAGGACAGGATCTTTATTTTTATTTTTAAAATATATTTTTATTGATTTCAGAGAGGAAGGGAGAGAGAGATAGAAACATCAATGATGAGAATCATTGATTGGCTGCCTCCTGCACGCCCCACACTGGGAATCGAGCCTGCAATCCTCGCTGGTTCATAGGTCAGTGCTCCACCACTGAGCCCCACAGGCCAGGCTCCTTTGTGTTTTAACAGTTTGTTTATCAAGCCAGATTGAGACACTCCTGTAATTCATTTTCCTATTTCATTTCTCAGAGACACGTGGGAATGCTGACAAAGCTTCTAATCAGTATCTGGAAACTAGTATGGCCTCTGGGTGACATGCAATTTGCTCATTTAGCCCAGGTGCAATTTGTATCAGCGTTTTTGAAAAGCTCACCCTGAAAACAGCTTGCAGACCCTATGAAATCCTCACAAATCCCTAAGGCCAGGAATGCCAGGGCTGGAGCCGCTGACTCAAAGGGTCACCTCTTACAGGGATGTTTTTGATGGAGTGCGATCACTTTCTAAACTATTAGATCATTTCTTTTTCAATATTGTAGATGGTTCTACAGTAGATATCATTTTGCATCTTCCTGCTCTGCTTATATTAGGAAACAAAAATCCCAGGAGCAGTTTACTGAGTCGAGAGATTTGGGCGTTTTTATTAATGAAGACTTACTGAAAAATTCCAGGCCTATGTTAGTTTGCAGATGGTTATCAAAAAGTTCTTTACTGAAGATGCACTTATAGTTGTCATCCTTCTATCTTTCCCACTTTCTTTCCCTTTCCTCCCTACCTTCCTTCCTGTCAAGATACAAGTTCCTAAAATATGCTGAACTGAGCATATTAATTCAGAAGTGAGTAGAATGCAATCTTTTATTGGGATGAAAAGTAGGATTTGCCAGATACAAGTAGATCACCAATTTTAATAAGGCTCATAACAATATTAGTTTCTATAGGCTATTCACTTATCATTTTGTTTTTATTTATTTATTTATTTATTTTATTTATTTATTTATTTGTTACTAAATCTTTACTAAATTTCTGGAGAATAAGCCCAGAATATTAATTACTACAATTTTGGCTCTTTTCTATATTGTAAGTTAATATGAGAAACTGAGTATAGACTAATGTGTGCCCCTCTCTCCCCCACCTCTCTCTCTGCTTCAATCATTTGTCTGTATCCAGCGATTTCTATGGAAGAAGGTAAAAAATAGTATTGGGGAAAACCCTCATCTCCAAAGTCTCCTAGAAATGTCCTGTAGTTCTCCTCATCAGCTTCATTCAGTTCAGCTGTTTATTAAGCTCTTCCTATGTACCTAGTGGTGTGCCAGTCACTAATGCCCCAATGTATGAACAGATGACAGTCAAAAGGACACACACAGTATATTGTCTTAACCCTGAGAGGAATAAAAGAAAAGAGAACTAACATTTACAGTTTACAGCCCCAAAGTTAAAGGCAGCCCACCATAAGAACTCAGAAGAAGAAAAAAGAAAGTTAGGAAACTGCTCCGCACTTTTGAATCAACTGCTTTACACATACTGTCTTCAAAATAGCAGCCACCCTCACCAGCAGTGTGGACTTGCTGATTTTGAGAGAAAAAATCAGTAGCTTTATGAGATCCCAGAGTGACAAGTTCAAAAGTCAGGGCTACTTGTGCTGTTACTATAGCTTTTGTTTGCCTTTAGAAAAACAAAAACAAACTAGTTATGTCCTAGGAACTAGTGAATTCATTGTTGCTATAAACTACTATTCTAGAAAATAATCTCTAAATGAAGATAAGGCATTGAATAACACCGTTGAAAATCTCAGCTACACTACTTGTTTATCTGTGCCCCTTCTCTATAAAATAGAATTTATTTCATAAAATGTTTCATGTGAAATATTTTATTTAAAAAATGTTGATTAATGCTGTGCCTTTTCAGGAGGTGATAAGTACTACTTTGTAACATCATAGTCTATTATATAGAATATGATATGTACCTTTAAAACATACTTAACACATTTATTAAAATACCATTTATTGATCTCCAGGAAAATCCTGGCCACTGTGCTAGGCACAGAGGTACAATGCTGAAATAAAGTATGTTTTGATATTAAGAGGAAAATTCAACTCAGTTTAATAAATAATCCACGTACCTACTATGTGCAGGACGTTGTACAAAGACCTGGAAAGTATGCAGACATTAGTAAGACATTCTCGCTCTGCAGGCGCAGTCTGGGCGGGTGACTACGGCCAACACCTAGTGGTTACATTACAAGGTAGATAGATGTGTAGCTGCAGAGTTCCAGGAAGCAGGAAGAAAATGCAGACTGAAAACGGCAGGGATATTCATTTTGATCAGGTTTCAAAGGGACCTTGAACATTATAGCAAAAGCAACAGCTTAAGCAGAAGCCCAGAGGAAGAGCCAGTGATGCCGGCTAACAGGAGTGTACGATCTGTGAGGGATGGCAGTGGACAGTGGCCTTTAAAGTTGGGTTGGGGTCGTGTTGTAAAGCAGCAATTTGTCATTTCATGGCTCATAAACTGATTACTAAAATTCTGCGGCACACCAAAAAAAATTATTTTTTGCCAATCTGGCAAATTTTATAATTTCGATTAATTTACAAAGTGACTTTTTTAAAAAGTAGGTGCTTGTACTTGTGTATAAGGACTTCTGGTACCGAGAATTAACTAATCATATGCAACCTTATTATGCTGCCTGACCAGTAAGATGCAACTCTGTTCTATGACCTAAACACACAGGTCAATTCCGGGCATTCACACTGGATGGTTATTGTTATGTTGGCTGTTGTCATTTTCTTATTTGACAACCTAAGGGAAAGAGGTCAGTGCCCCCGGATAAACAGTCAGGTGTAGAATGATTGGAAAATTCTTGTGGCTCACTGGTTGAAAATCACTGTTGTAAAGGGTTTTCAGGACTAGGATGAATGGCTTTAAAAGTTATATTCTTTTATTCTCTTATACATAACCAAGCTAAGGTAAAACTAGTTAACACTTATTGAGTGTTTGCCTCGTGCCTTTTCATCATCTTATTTATTCCTATCCTATATGGTAGGTGTTATTGCTATTCCCATTTACAGAAAGAAACTGACATAAGGCAAACTCCTCTATCCAGCTTCTGAAAGCCCATTCTTTAAAATTTGTAGCCATTTCGTGTTATGCAGCTGCTCATATCATACATCTTCATTTAACACAGTGGAGCCTTTTTTTTATCCCGTGAGTGAGCAATAGTTGTAAGAGTAGCATTCTTTAAGGTGGCCTGTGCTTTACTGACAAAAGCCTGCATATAGGGAGTTTTGTTTGTGATGCTAACACACTTAAGTTCTCCTCTTCTCTTGTATAGAAGACGACATGAAGATTGACGAGAAGTGTGTAGAAGCAGGTAACATTTCCTCTTGATAGATTTACCAGCAGCAGAAATATGGAGCACCTCAGAGCCAAAGTCTCTTAAGCAGAGTCAGCCAAAGGGGCCATAGGCCTTTTCTCTGTTAGAAAGGTGTAAAATGAATCCTTTTTCTGTGGTTTTGACACTTGGAAGAGCAGTCCAGCTATGGGGATGTCTCCAGGTCTAACCAACCTTCTAGAAATCAGTACCTTGGAAATGATCCCAGTAACACTGGGGTGTTACATTGAATAACATTCAGGTGGAACATAGAGAAACCACCATGAGAAATACTATAAAATATTGAGGTATCACATTTTTATAAAGCAAAATGTATAGTTTGATATTGTCTGGTACCATCTTCTGATAGATTATAGTATAGATAAATAGTACAGGTTCCAAATTTGAGAAACATATAAGAACTTTTTACATTTCTATACTTAATTAATTAATTGATTGATTTAAAAATATATTTTATTGATTTTTTACAGAGAGGAAGAGAGAGGGATAGAGAGTTAGAAACATCAATGAGAGAGAACCATTGATCAGCTGCCTCTTGCACACCCCCTACTGGGGATGTGCCCGCAATCAAGGTACGTGCCCTTGACCGGAATCGAACCCGGGACCTTTCAGTCCACAGGCTGACGCTAAACAGGTTTTTGGTTCAGTTTTATTTCTTGAGGCAATAAATGCCCCCAGGTTCTTCCATAATCCTTCCAGACACGTTCTGTGCATATGAAAGCAGGGATGTACATTTTTTTCCTACTCTTTCTCACACTGATACTTACCTTAAACACACACACACACACACACACACACACACACACACACACACTCACACACAAATAAAAATACCCTCAGATAAAACCCTACACAAACTGTTCTGTTCCTGGCTTTTTAACTTGGCATTATATATATCTTGGAGATGATTCCATCTTGGTACGTAAAAAGCCACCTCATATTTTTTAAACAGCTTATTTTTATTATAAGCAATGCTGCAATGAATACGTTTGATGCAGCATTGCCTGATCCAAGGATGTGTGGATTGATGATGTTGCTTTATATTTCAATAAAACCTAGCTCCTTAATCCTCAGTATCTCTTTCCAACACTAACAAGAACATTTTAACTGATGAGAAAGTCGGTTTCAAACCGTTCATATACTCATTCTCCTTACCATGCTTCCCTGGCTGAGGAGCCCACAGTCTTCCGCAGGGCACCCCCTCCTGCATCTGCAGGCCCTCGAACAGCGCAAATTTCCAACCACCTAAAGGAGCTCCCCCGACATTCTGCCTGTCCCTCCCCTTTGAGCCTCGTTCTATTTATTCTCTCCTATGTTGTTTGTTTTAAGTTCCTACTGTACCCTTGCTTGATATCATGGCCCAACTGCTCACCACCATCTCTCACTTAAGACTGATACGTACCAAAGAGACACCACTGATTTTGTCCTGATTTAGGAACACATTTTACAGTTGGTGCGTGTGCAGAAGCACGGGGACAGGGGATTATGCTGTTAGACTACAGATTGAGTATGACCTGTAATATAACGACACTTTTGGTGTTTTGCCTTCATGGAAAACCATAGACGAAGAAACGTTTGAATCTGGTAAGTAAAACATGAGTTTGTGGTTCTGATTTTAAAATGTATACAGTGTTTCAGATTTCGGTGGAGTTTGAACCCTGTTTAGGGATAGGACACAAGCGTTGTTTAAATTCATCAACAGTACAGTGGTGAGAGGTAAATTTCACCTTAACCATTAGGGCCCTTTTGGAACTGCGAGGGCATAGTTGGTGTCACCTTGGGGAGGGGCACCCCTGGCCTCTAACTGGTGGGAGTCGGGAAGGCTAGAAGGGGTGCCTCCATGACACCTCCCTGCACTATGCTCTGAATTACCTGCGGAACAAAACTCATTACAAATACGCAAGAAGTTCTTTGTACAAAATGGCGAGGGAAGTCCTCACCAGACAAACACGGAGAGCTGGTGGCTTATGAGACAGTCACCATGGAGAGAGACTTTGAACAGAAAAAAAGACACGGCCTTGCAATTGCTGAAAAATCAATCAATTCCACACACTGTGAATATAGCATGCTGATAGCAGATAACCTGGATAGTGAGCGATGGGCACCGAATCCGTTATTTTCTTTAATGTGTGATTTGTTATTACTGATGGTACATGATATCACCAAGTGTCTGTCCCTCAAAACAATGTCGACATCATTAGTAGCAACAGAGAGCCCTCAGAATGTCTTTAGAAAACTGGCCACCTTCTGGGGCCTGTTAGCATTACTCACCCTCCTGCAAGTGTGTGCTTCCTCGTTTTCTCCTTTCATCACCTATAACTGCTCTGGCATATTACCCCTAGTTCACGTAAGTCAAGTTCTCTTCCTCTGACCGTATTCAAGGAAATGTTTGTGCTCAGCTTCGCCTGTCTTCAAGGGGCCAGCTGGAGATGGGAGGGTGCGTGGGTGAGGGTAAGGAAAGAGGACCCTCAGACTCCCTTCTGGCAGCTCCTGCCCCAGGCCCGGACTCAGGCCCCTGCCCCCTTCCTCCACTTCCTGGCTTCCCAGGCTGCAGCCCAGGGGCCTCTGGGGGAGCAGGACAGCGGAGGCTTAAACGAGTTGCTTTTCGATAATTTCTCTCTTTCAAGCCTCATTCCATGCCAAGGAGAGAGGAGTTTTCATGGCTAAAAAGCCTTCAGGGAGAGTCCAGATAAGCAACTTGCAGAAAAAGCTACTGTGCCCCCAGCAGCAGGGTCATGCCAATGGCTCTGGGTCCGGGGGGTAGGGTGAAGGGGGTTGTTGTTCGCTCTGCCAGGACTCCCAGGACTCCCAGCTTCTCTCAGGGGGACGTGACTGCCTCACTTTGTCATTGTCTTTATTTGATGGCTGCTTGATCTCAAAGGCTTAACTTTTTCATGTTTACTTATTTATTTTTACACTTCCTCAAATGCCCAGAGGAACTCTCAGAAGGTAACTGTTTTTATTTCTTGGGTAAACCAAATAAAGCTATGTTTAAGGTCATTCAGTGCCTCAAAGTGAATACCTGACAGAATACATCTTAAGATAGATACATGATATTTTAAGGCTAACTATTCAATTTTATAGAAAATATTTAAAAATAAACAAAGAAATTCAGCTTGATGAATATATCCCTAAGTAAACATTTCCTTTTAAACTTACTGACATATTTCAGTTAGAAAAATATGCTTACTTACCAGAGATGGAGTCGATATTGGAGTGTTTTCCTTATATTTTAAAATGTGTGTGTGTGTTTTTTGTTTTTTTTTTTTAAGAAAATGAAGGTTAAGAGAAAAAGCTTGTATATGTCAGTTCATTCTATGAACAAATGCTCTTTATGTATTTTTTTTCAATGATCAGAACAGGGTTGTGTAAGTGACGAGAAACAGATGTTAGTAAAAAGTAACTGGAAATGACATTTCTGTAATATTTCTTTCTGGAGTTTATAACAAGTTTACTGAGACCCCAGAGGAAGCAGAGGCAGGAGTTTCAGGGCCGCTGGACAGTATTCCTCCCTTTTTGCCTCTCCCATTCTTGAATGGTCAAAAGTAATGGCAGCTGTAGAGCAAATACTATATAGAATGAGTCATTTAATATAATAAAAGGCTAATATGCAAATTGTCTCCTCGGGATTTCGACCAGGAGTTTGATCGCTCACTGTGACATGTGCTGACCATAGAGGGTGGCATGGAACATGGCAGGCAACCAGCAGCAGTGGGGTGCTGAGGGAGTGAGGGAAGGAGGAGGTGGGGAAGCCAGGAGGCAGAGAACTTGATCGGTCCTGATGGCTGGCCAGGCCTAGGGACCCTACCTGTGCATGAATTTTGTGCACTGGGCCTCTAGTGGAGAAGATAAAAACCCATCGCTAACAAAGAGGTTACTTACAGGACCTGCAGAAATCAATAACTACAAGTTAAAGCCAGAGCCGGTTACCTCTCTGTGTGTCTTTAATCAGTTTACTTTGGGCATGTTTAAGAATATATACCCAATTTTTACATGTTTTTACAATGGTTCACTATCTTTCTTATAACAACTTCACATAAGCCTAAAATTGGTTCCTGTTCCCAATCATATGAGACAGATTATATGAAGTGTACTGCTAAAATTCTGAAGGTGTCTCCGTGTAGTTTGGTACACGCGATTAGATGGATAGTGCTTAGACACTCAAGGCTAAGACAGTGGTGCTGCCATCAACTGAAATGGTGTCCCTGAAGGTTTGGAGAGAATTGCATGACTCTGTTCTAAGTAAACTTCTCCTCCTTCCCCATGTATTCCGCTCCCGCCCCTCTCTGTGTCCCAGACAAGGAGGAGCTCGTTGGCTACGGTCAGAAGTTCTTTATCGGTAGGTTTGGCTGAATCAGAGGTGGGTCTTTGCCACTTCCCAAGTTATTTTCGTACCTGACAATCCTCTGACAGCTTGTTTTGCTGATGGACATTCCCAACCTGGTTCCTTGTTCTGGTTTTTCTCTATCTTTTGTGTGTGAGTGAGTGTGTGTGTGTGTGTGTGTGAGTGTCTATATTCTGATATGTTGATCCTTCATTGTTATTCATCTGGTTTCCAGTGGATATTTCTAATTATTTACCCACTATAAATATTTTGTATTCTGCCAGACTTCCCCACAAGTGCTCTTAAGTGATACAATAGGTAAATGTAATGAGGATAATAAGAGCTGTTTTTCTTCGTTAGAGAAAGGAGTTACACATGTGGAAGGATTGGCGGGGGGACAGGCATGCTAAGATAAATCCTGTAGTGCTGAATTGGCCTTGAAGGTATTGGTGTGAACTCATGCTTTTCAATATATATAGATGCAAATATGGATGTGTGTGTGTGTGTGTGTGTGTGTGTGTGAAGAGAGAGAGAGAGAGAGAGAGAGAGAGAGAGAGAGAGAGAGAGAGAGAGGCGTATATAATCCCCAGCTCTACCTACTGAGAGGGCCTGGGAGCAGCTTTGGCACTTCCAGAAAGCTCCGAGGTTCAGTGGGCAGATTAGGTTGGATTCCAGGAGTTTGCAAATCACGACTGAAATGTCCAACTCTGCCACTGAACACACAGTTATGAGCAGCCACTGGTCCTGTCTGTGTCTTAGTGCTTCCATCTGGATGATGTGAGTAATAAGCCTGCTCCACTGTTTCTACCCTGGCCCGAGCCACCAGCCCCCTCATCTGGGAGTAGCCCCTGAACTGCTGGCCCCTGACCTCTGCCTCCTGGGCCTACAGTTTACAATCGGCCTTCAGCAACCAGAGGAGTTCTTCCGACATAAACCAATCATGTCACACCCCCCTCTTGACCACCCAGTGACTTCCCACCCCACTTTGACCACAATCCAACATGGGAGCCCTTGTGTGGCCTCCCCAGCTTCCTCTCCAGCCCACTTCCTACCACTGTCCCTCCTGCTCACTGCCCACAGCTACACAAGCTCCATGCTCTTCCTCAAGCGCTTCAAGCTCGCTCCTTCCTCTGCTCCTTTGCAGTGTTCTCTCAGCCGGTCTGCTCTTCCCCCCAGACGCCTCCTTAGCTGGCTCCGTTACTTCATCCAGACACCTGATCGGTGTCCACGCTTCGGACACTGGACAGAACCACCTGCCTGCAGAAGCACTTTGTCAGTTCTCTACCCACCGATCCTCCACCTGAGCACGCACTTTTGTTGATTTTTGTCTCTCCTCCTCCCTAACATGTAAATTATATGAGGAAAGGGCCTGGGTTTCGTTAGCTATTATCTGACCAGCATCTGGCACAGAGTGGGTGCTGGGTGGGTGCCATTTCGAGGTAACGTCTGGGCATCTTGTTATTTTGCCTTCTATCCCTTCCTCTCTCCTACCGCCAGGCAGGCATGGCTCTGCTCGTTAGCACGTTAGATCGCAGTCACTGCGTGTCCACCAGGGTGGACGCTGGAAGGAGGCTCTCCTGCCTGGGTCTCACGTTCTGTGCTTTCTCCGTCCAGCCGGCTTCCGCCGCAGCATGCGCCTCTGCCGCAGGAAGTCTCTCCTGCCCGCCCTGTGCCCCGGCCGCTGCCCCAGGGCCCCCTATGAGGAAGTGGTGAGGCACCAGCGGCACCTCTCCGACACTCACCGCCTCATCGTGCTCGTGGGTACGTCCCCTCTGTCCCATCCGGGCAGGCAGCCTCTCCTCCTCAGTGAGGTCCCCCTTCGCTCAGTGGCCTTGCTGGGCGCAGTGGGAAAGCACAACTCTCTAGTCTAGGGCTGCCATGGGGACAGCGTGAAAAATAAAGCCCGTTGTATGTGTGCGTGTTTATAGATAAACCCTTCATGCCTCGTGCTTTTATTGTCTATAGTTGAATGTCACATGCTGTCTTGTACTTGAACTTGTAGAATAACAGGTTGTATCGTGGTAAGACCATAACTGAGATTTTTTTTTTCCTGATTAGAATTTGTTCTCTAAGCATAAATGACTGTTCTCCCAGACTGGATCATTAGTCTGTGTAAGGAAAAAATCCTTAAGATCCATTTAAAAAGAAATTTGTCACCACCTCCTTTAAGGGACAAAAACTCCTGGACCATATCCTTGGTGCTAAGCAACAAGGCACATGAGTGCGGATGGGCCTTTTGTGACCCAGACCTCCACCAGGAGGTCCCTGCAGCGGCAGACACCTCGTCTTACTGCCCCCTCCTCGTGATCAGGGCAGGTCCCTGTGGGGCAAACAGCATGGCTTACAGTCGGGACCAGCTGCCCAGTGTGCAACACACAGTGCAAAAGGGGACTGCAAGGCCCCTCATTCCAAAGTTACCAGGAATTTACCGCAGCAAACGAAGGGCATTTAACCCAGGGCAGTCCCCGAAGCACTGGCCCTGCATAACACAGGGCTCTGTGCCCCAGGTCCGCCCTGCCTCCAGGGGCACGTGGGGTGCTGACTCACCTGCCTGTGGGGAAAGCGCCCTGACTTCTGTCAGTCACAGGACCGCTCACTGTGGAGCCTGGCTTCTGGGTGGTGAGTCGGCAGAAACCTCATTTGCAGAGGACAGGCCGAGGCTCTGAGACGAGGTAGAGTATTCGCACCAGGCCCAACCTTAGACGGGGTTTGCTGAGCTGACAGTTTCTGCAACTCCCCGCCTCATTTCTGCGTATTAAGATGTGGACTCTTCTGCAGCGGCTCCAGTTCCTGGGAGCTGTCCCCCTGAGAACATTTGCTCCCAGGTTTCTCAGGGGGAGGCTGACATGTGATTCACCACGTCCCTGTACTTGCCACATCTGATGAGTTCTGTCTGTGCCTGTTCGTGTAGGGCCTTCTGGTGTTGGAGTGAATGAACTGAGAAGACAACTCATTGAAGTTAATCCTGACCGTTTTCAGAGCGCTGTGCCGCGTACGTCTCGTTTCTCTCTCATCGCAGTTCATGTTCTGGTAAAAATTTATTTGCGTCTGCAGAGGTACCAAACACACTTAGTTATGTCTTACCCTCTTTGTTGTAAAAATATAAGACATGAGGAATAGTTTTTAAAATTTCTAACTGTACTTATTTTAACAGAGGGAAATGAATTACTAACTAGGTTTTAAAAAGGTGACTGTCTTTTTTCCATTTCTTAGCAGTCATATAAATACCTTCCTGACACTGCGTTTGACTCTTATTTGCTTTTTTATTAAAATGTATAATATTTGCACATAGAATGCCATGTAACTGTAAGTGTTATGATACCATACATTGTGGGAAGAGCTTGTGGGTACTTCCCCTTCACCCCAACTTGAAACAGAAGAACTTAAGAAAACCACTTAAAGAACTTAATATAAGTTTCCTGCAATTTAGGTGTCAAACTGAACCTAAAACTATCTAAAGGATAGAGCTTGGAGGACGTGACCAATGGCTGTGGTTTTGGAAGTGGCTGCCCTGTTAGAGTCTGTCACAGTAAAAAGTGCTGTGATGTTTCCCAAGGACCAGCTGTGGGTGGATTATATGGGAGGGTGACCCCTGTGCTGTCTTAGCTTTGCCAAAGAGGAAGTCTCAGTAAAAAGAGGCCGAAGGGGACCCCAGATACTTCAGGGTGTGGAAGAAATCACAAATGATTGGCTGGCATAGAGGTGGATTTGAGGTACTCAGTACACGATAGCTGAATACATGGATGAGCAGACAATGAATCGATTTTAGGTAGTCAGTGGATTCTTATGTTTCATACCAGATGCTCTTTAAGCTGAAGATATCAAAGTGCTCATATCAACCAATCAGATTGAATTCAGACCCCCTGACCTCTCCCTTCTGGAGATCCCTAATCACCATTCCTCACAGACTGCGGACTATCCTTGGCTTTCTCCATTTCAAATCTCAGACACTCTGGTGCAGTAGAAAAGATTAGTCTAGGAGGAGTCAGAACACCTAGGTACTTGTTCTCAACTTTGCTTTTCTGTAGTCTATGTATGTGAGCAAGTTAGTTACTCTCTAAAATCTTCAGTTAGCTATGGTAATAGCATCTCACCTAGCTAGGAGTGTAAGAGGTGACATGAGATCTGTGAAGTGCACTATATAAACAACATATTGCTGATATTGATATTGGAGGTATATTAGAGCTCATACATAATTCACTGGTGCTTATTTAGAAGTTATATCAGGTGTTCCCTTAGTGTATCCCTATCCTGGCCTAAAACCTAATATATTCTTGTCCACACTATGAGCATTAAATAAAGGATTACAGATTAAATAATTTTGATATCAGAACTACTTTACTATCAATAAGTCAGACTACTTTTTGGTTCTAGTATTTTGTCTACATACTTATATATACATTCACCTGTTTTGTAATGAATCAAAACATTTTGAAGACTCTAACATCTTTAAAATTTCTGACAGATACTACTCGTTCCAAAAAGAGTTATGAAGTAGATGGACGTGAGTATCACTATGTGTCAAAGGAAGCATTTGAAAGCCTCGTGTGTAGTCACAGGTAAGCTAAATGTTCAGAATCCGATCCTCACTTCTGCTTCTTTTACATTCCAACTAGAGTCTCTATTTTATGCACTGCTCGAAGCTTCTGTTTCTGAAGAATTAACCAAGAATGTACATTGCTATACTAGTAAACCAGTCACTGGGCTCTGAGAAGTGCAAATTTTATTTTATTTTATTTTAAAATATATTTTATTTTTATTTTTAAAAAATATATTTTATTGACTTTTTTTAGAGAGGAAGAGAGAGGGATAGAGAGTTAGAAACATCTATCAGCTGCCTCTTGCACACCCCCTACTAGGGATGTGCCCGCAACCAAGGTACATGTCCTTGACCAAAATAGAACCCGGGACCTTTCAGTCCACTGGCCGACGCTCTATCCACTGAACCAAACTGATTTCAGCAGAAGTGCAAATTTTAGAGAATTTGGAGAATTCATTAAGTCCTAGATCTCCAAATATTTTTTTCTCCACTAAGAAAAAACTCCACTAGTTTTTGTGCTAGCAAAGTTCCGTATTTTATTCCATCCTGTTGAGTTTATCTCCATGTTACTACACTAATATCTTACCTGTAGAAATAGTTCTTGTTTTCTTTGTCCCACCTTGCAGGATGCTCGAGTATGGAGAGTACAAAGGCCACTTCTATGGCACCAGCATGGATGCTGTTCAAGCCGTCCTCAATGAAGGGAAGATCTGTGTCATGGATTTAGAGCCTCAGGTGGGTCTGTGGTGGAATGTTTCCCATCTTCTCATAGTAATGAATGCATGCCATTCATTTTGGGCACCTGCTATATAGGTTTTATTCTGTTACTGTTGACCTTTTAAGGATAAGACTACTTCCCATATCTAAGGGTCAGGATCTTACAAAAAGAATCAATTGTCACCCTAACTGGTTTGGCTCATTGGATAGAAGGATCCTGGATTCAATTCCTGGCAAGGGCACATGCCTGGGTGGTGAGCTCGATCCCCAGTAAGGGGCGTGCAAGAGGCAGCTGATCAATGATTCTCTCTCATCATTGATGTTCCTATCTCTCTCCCCCTCTCCCTTCCTCTCTAAAATCAATAAAAAATATTTTTTTTTTAAAAAAAGAACCAACTGCCAGTAGCTTATGAATAGTTAGGAAATAAATCTACTTTCTCAGATACAAAACCAGAACTTAAGAGGTGACCATAAAGAAAACTTAGAATCTTGCTTTGACCTTAATCACAAAAGCATCAAGGTTACTTTGTAGAAGGAATAAGGTGTTGCTCTTCACAAGGAGGTGAGGTTCCTAGGTTGTTATAGCTATAGCTACCTCCTCAAGACTATATGTGGAATGGAGCAGGAGAGAGCAAGTTAGGGTAAGATAAAGAACATACAATCTATAGGCCCAATTTTTTATGATACTTGTCTTTTCTTTCCCTTTTCTGTAGTCATTTAAAAGTATACCTGTGTGCTAAAGAGATTCAGGGGACGATAGATTTGTTCTCATGAGGCTCAAAGCTGGTGGTCAGGGTGATGTCAGTAGTGCCAAAGGCAAGAGGAAAGGGCAATGAGGAAGAAACAGAGCTGATCCTCCTGGAGAGTGTCTGTCTTTGTCTTTGTCTCAAGAGATCACGTATAGAATCCTATTCTTGACTTTCAATAAGATGTCATGGCTAGTGAGAGGAAGAGTCGGGATTTAAAGTAAATTTTTATTCTAGAATCCTATCTCTTGATTATTGTTTTTTTAATTTTTTTTTATTGATTTCAGAGAGGAAGGGAAAGAGATCCAGAGATAGAAACATCAATGATAAGAGAGAATCATTGATTGGTTACCTCCTGCACGCCCCCTACTGGGGCCAGTGATCAAGACCACAACCTGGGCATGTGCCCTTGGCTAGAATGAAACTGGGACGCTTCATTCCTCAGGCCAACACTATTCATTGAGCAAAACCAGCTAGGGCTCTCTTGATTATTAAAATGTTTGTAGAGTTGAGAACTTGGGGGCACATGAGAATATACTCTGGCTAAAAATAATTGCTAACTTCTGGTCTGAGAAAATTTGAGAACATTCATGTTGACTCTAGGAAATTAGGACTTGTGTGTGTTTTTAATCCTCACCCAAGACTATGTTTTTTATTGAAGAGAGATAGAGATGAGAGAGAGAGAGGGAGAGAGAGAGAGAGAGAGAGAGAGAGAGAGAGAGAGAGAGAGAGAGAGAGAGGGAGAATATTGATTGGTTGCTTTGATCAGGGATTGACCCCCAACCTGAATATGTGCCCTGATGAGGAATGGAACCTGCCACCTTCTAGTTATAAGATGAAACTCCAACCAACTGGGCCACACTGACTAGGGTAGGACTTCTGTTTTTAAATGTGCACTTAATTTCTGTGTAGGGCATTCAAGTGGCTCGAACCCGTGAATTGAAGCCCTATGTCATATTTATAAAGCCATCTAACCTGAGTTCTATGAAGCAATCTCGAAAAAATGCCAAGATCATTACAGACTACTTTGTGGACATGAAATTCAAGGTAAAATCACTGTACTGTTTCCACAGCCTCTTTATGTTAAGGAATATAACTTTTGTTTCTAATGAATAATGCCATATGATTTATCTTTTACAAATATTAAAGTTTAATAACTGTTATAATGCTACTCTTGTTTTTTCCCTTTTCCTTTTTCTTTTTTGGAGGGAGGGTATCTAGCTTAACCCTTCAAACCACAGTTTGCAAAGCCAAATAGAAACTGGGTGTGCACAGGCCTGATATCTGTATTTAAAATGAATTATTTATTTTATACAAACATGGGAGTTTACTTCTTAAATCCTTTAGTGAATATATCTCATTTGTAATGAGACACTTTATATATATTTCTAAACATGAAAATTTTTATTAATGAAGATGGTAATAATAGAGGGGTCAACCTAGCTGGGATTAATCAGTGAACTTTTCCTAGGATTGCTGATTTCCCCTCACAACCCATTTTTAAAAGTAAATCTACTTTAAATATTTTAAGTCATGGCATATATTTAGCAAGGTGTATAAATCTTAGGTGTAAGCTCAATGAATTTTTACATGTCTGTGCACACAGCTGGTCTTCGTCTCGATCAAGATCTTACTTCTTCCACTTATTTTTGTGTGTGTGGTAAAAAACAAACAAAACATGTAACATGAAACACAAAACTTAACATCTCAACCTTTTTGAGGGTATAGTTTAGTAATATTAAGTTTATTCACATTGTGAAAAGGATCTCCAGAACTCTTTTGTCTTGCAAAACTGAAATTAAATATATGAAATGCATCATGAATTCGGATGCCATCCTCTATATAGGGACTATACGAATGCCTGTATCACTTTAATTATAGTGTATATGTTGCCTAAGTGAGCACAGGTGTCTTTATATTATCATTTATCTCTCATTATTTTTATCTTTTATTTCAATGACTTCTGTAGGCATACAAATCTGATTCTCCAGTTTGCATTTCAGACAGTGGAGTCCATGGATATAGTCCCTGAGTCTCATTTTTATGACAGTGTAGACAAATTAACAAAATTATTTCTGGATCATGTGTGTGGTCACCTTGTAAAGGAGTGCTGCCACGAGATCTCAGTGTCTGCATTTATATTTGTGATTATGATTGTAGAGACAACAAGTTGTACTATTTTAATTGTTGTGGACAAATTAGAAAACAGAAATGAACTTAATGCGTTAGTGTTGAGTGAAGGCCAAATAACCTTCACTGAATGAACATTTCATAATAGTAGAAATAGATAATATTATAGGTGAATTAAGTCATTATGAAGCAAAGTGTAATTTAGGAATGCCTATTCAATAGAACCATCTTACCATCCTCATGTTAAAAGTGACCATTTTGTATATACAAAATAACACCATTCTTATTAGATTGTTTAAAATTTATGTTTAAGTTTTATTTATATTTAATTGGTAAACATTTTTTGGTTTTATGTTGTATATGGTTTGAGCACTCCAGATGTTTAAATAATAGGATAATTTAAGTTTAAATGAGAACTTGAGAGGATTGGTCTGTCTACAAACCATCATTCAATTTTGGAAAACCTTGAGCAGGGAAACATTAGTAAGACTAAAGAAAGAATCATATGTCCTTTGGTTTAAAATAGAGGACACTTATTTGACCTAATTTTTAAAAAATAGTTCGCATCTGAATGTAACAGCAAAACAAACTGCTATCATCTCTAATCCTCCGTTGAGTTTGTTCTATCCGCATTCTTTTCACTTCCCCTAAAGGATGAAGACCTACAAGAGATGGAGGATTTAGCCCAAAAAATGGAGACTCAGTTTGGCCAGTTTTTTGATCACGTGATTGTGAATGACATCTTGCAAGATGCATGTGCCCAGTTGGTGTCTGCAGTTCAGAAGGCTCAGGAGGAGCCTCAGTGGGTACCAGCAACGTGGGTTTCTTCTGAGACCGGGTCCTAAGGGCTTCTGCTTCACGCTGGAGTTTTAACAGCGTTGTCTATTTCAGCTCTGGAGTAACAGCTGCACGTTTCCCTGAAAATAAGACATCCTCCGAAAATAAGACCTACTTACAGGTTTCCTTCTGAGTGAAATATAAGACATCCCCCCCCGAAAATAATGCCCCCCTAGGCTAAACATGAGAGATTTGGTCCACTGATTCTGAAAGAATTGGAGTCACAAGAAATTCACCAGGAAATTCAGGAATTGGATTGTTATGATGATGTTCCAGAAGATGATGACATGATTATCATTGAATAAATGAGTAAATTCTTGATACTGTAGGATTCAGTTTGTCTGGTTTGTGTTGACAACTACCGTACTACCGTACCGTATACAGGTAATAAATTTCCTTTATTTTCATTTAACAATAAATGTGTACCGTATTCTTCTTCATGGAAAAATAAGACATCCCCTAAAAATAAGACCTAGCGCATCTTTGGGAACAAAAATTAATATAAGACACTGTCTTATTTTTGGGGAAACAGGGTATCTGAAGCAGCAGTGTTTGCCCCGTTTTAATATGTGCAACTTTTAAAGTCCTGCAGTTTAATTAACCTTACTTGAAAAAAAAGTTTGCATTGCATGGTTATATGGTTACCTGTTTGGCTTTCAAAAAAAATTGTTTGCTTTTACCTTCTATACAGCAATTGGTAGGGATAAGAACAAAGTCAAGTGACTGAGTATGAGAACCTTTTATAGTTTTCATATGGTCGTTGTACAGTTCAGATAAAAAGAGCTTCCCTAAATAAAACAAGTAGTATTTAATTTCAGAAACTGCTTTTTTATCTTATGAAACTTGTTTTTGGGAAACAACTTTCATAAATTTTACAAAAAATGCCTACTTGGCGAACTTCAGCAAGAAAGATGGGTGATATACATATTTCACACCTAACATCAAAACCTACAAAACTGCACTGCCCTCATTTTACATGAGACAAGGAAAAAAATATTCTTCTGACCAGGGCTGTAATAATATTAAGTTTCCTAAAAACCAATATTTACATTTATGCTTAAAAAAGTGGCGTGGTGCACGGATTCATGCACATTGAAAGGATTAACTAGAAGGTGGCCGGCAGGGCGGGACTGGGAGAGATGGCTGGACACACCCTGGAGCCAACCTCGCATGATCCCTCCCCTGCCTGGCTGCCCCTGGGGCAGCTCTATGGCTCTCTAAGGGCCTCTGAGGTCACCGCAGCTGGACAGTAAACCAGATTAGGGGCCGATAGTGCCCCAGCAACAAGGTAAACCATTGGGAATCGAGCTCCCTCCTCTCTGGTTCTGGGGTGCCTCACCTGAGAACAGAGAACCACCGCTGCCAAGGCAGCTCCTGCATAGAGCGTCTGCCCCCTGGTGGTCAGTGCCCGTCATACCTACTGGCCGGGCAGATGGTCAGACAGTCACTTAGTCTTTTTTCTCTTTTTAAAAATATATTTTACTGATTTCTTTTTAAAAAAAATATATTTTATTGATTTTATACAGAGAGGAAGGGAGAGAGAGAGAGAGTTAGAAACATCGATGAGAGAGAGTCATCGGTCAGCTGCCTCTTGCACACCCCCCACTGGGGATATGCCCGCAACTAAGGTACATGCCCTTGACCGGAATCAAACCCGGGACCTTTCAGTCCCCAAGCCGACGCTCTATCCATTGAGCCAAACCGGTCCCGGCTCTTTTTTTTTTACAGAGAGGAAGGGAGAGAGTCAGAGAGTTAGAAACATCGATGAAAGAGAAACGTCCATCAGCTGCCTCTTGCACACCCCCTATTGGGGATGTGCCCACAACCAAGATACATGCCCTTGACCGGAATCGAACCTGGGACCTTTCAGTCCGCGGGCCGACGCTCTATCCACGGAGCCACGCTGGATAGGTCATAGTCTTTTATGTAGGCAGAATTTTAGTCCAAGACCAGTATCTGGGAAAGCCACAAGAAGGGAACATTATTCCAAGAAGTCCTGATTTCCTGTCTTCCCTTCCTGTCCGTGTCCACCTTCTGCAGCCTCTCCCCGCGTCCCGCACCTCCTCTCTCCCGACCACCAAACGGAGGGCCGCTTCCCCGGAGTTGCAGTTTGTTGTTTAAAGTGAACAGCGTCTTTCTAAAGATCCCAACCACGCAAAGCGAAAGTTGCCCTTTTTAAGGACCCTCAAGGCGAGCCGGGTTTGCCTCTCGGCGGTGCGTCTCGGAGAAAAGGTTTCCCCACTCGGTTTACCCGGTTTGCGGGACGGAGGGGCGGCGGCCGCGGAGGATCCGGGACCGTCATTGTCTGGATCCGCCCCGCGCCGCCGGGAACGGGGCGGAGCCGGCTGGGCGGCGGCCTCGCCCGCACCCGCCTCCCCCGCCGGCAGCCCGCCTCCCGCGGTGCCGAGGCCGCGGCGGCAGCGGCGGCGCGGGGACCGGGCTCGGGCCGCGGCGGTTGCGCCTGGGAGCCCCGCGGAGAGCGAGCGCCATGAGGGCCGACCCGGGGCCGCCGCCGCCGGAGGGCCGCCCGGTGAGCCGCCCGGTGAGCGGCGAGGGGCGCCGCCTGGCCCGCGGCCGGGAGGGAGGGCACCGAGGGGGACGGGGCGGGGCGGGGCGGGCAGTCCTCTCCCCGCCGGGACCGAACCCGGGCCGGCGGCAGGTTTCCGGGCCCGGCGGGCGTGTTGCCTGGACAACGCCTCGCTGCCCGGTCGGCCCGCGGGTGGGAATGCCGGCCGCTCCCGGGAAGGGACCGGTTTTTGCCGGTGGAGACTGTTCATCGTGGGCATCTCTCCCGCGTCTCCAACAAGCAAGTCACGTGGGAAACCCCGGGGGGGCCGTGATTGCACCCACGGCCGCTGGCGTCTCCCCCGGGGCGGGTCAGCCACCCCTGGGCGCCCCGCGCCAGCGGCGGTGCCGGCGAGGCCAGGCCGCGTCCCGGCGTCTCCCCCGCTCCCCGCGGGGAGGGGGCTGCGCGCCGGACACACTGCGCCTGCGCGCGGCCGACCCGAGCCGGGAGGCGGGGGGTGCGGGCCGGCGGGAGGGGGGATGCGGGGCCGGCGGGAGGCGGGGGATGCGGAGCCGCCGGGAGGGGGGATGCGGGGCCGGCGGGAGGCGGGGGATGCGGGGCCGGCGGGAGGCGGGGGATGCGGGGCCGCCGGGAGGGGGGATGCGGGGCGGCGGGCAGCTGGCGGCCTTGGGACGTTAGGAAGAATAGGAAGAATGGGGAAGAAGCAGGTGGGGAGCGAGCCTCTGCCACTTGTGAGTTACCGGATTTTTGTATTCAGCTGAACTGCCCTACCTTGGAGAGGCGTGCACGTTGGGGTTTCGGATGGGTGACATGTGGTTTTTGCGGGACTTTTGAAACGTAGAGTTGTGAGAACCGGCCTTGGGATCGAACGCTCCGCGCAGCATCCTTAGGACAAAAGCGCTTTCGCGGGACCGTGGTACCTTCCCCTGGGAACGCCGAGTGCTGGGCGGGGTGAAGACAGCCTGCCTTGCCTGCACCTGGCAGCATTTACAGGAACACGCAGTTTAAACGGCTGCAGAATAAACTGAATGTCCACCCCTTGGAAGCGATGTTCTCTGCAAGCAGCGCGGGGTACTTGGCCCAGTGAACTGCTGCAGGCGTTTCTGTTAGTATTTTGTTTTGAAAGATCCCAGAGTGCTGCTTTACTATCATCTCTCCGGACTACAAATACAGCTCTTCTTATTCATGGAAAGCAGCGTTTCCAAGGGCTCCCATCCAGTCTTTCAGTACTAAAATGCATCCTTCATCCTGTATGCAGAGGGATCTTTTTAAAAAGTCTGTGACTGTGTGGCCTAAAACCTCCATCGGCTTCCAGTTAATGAATTAAAACAACATCTAGCTCCCTTCCCTCCAGCTTCAGGACCCTGGTTAGTCTAGCTTCTGTCCACCTCTCCATGGTCACTGCTGTAGCCTTCCTGGCCTTTTACCTGGGACCCTCCTCAAGCCTGTCTCCCCCAGGGCCTGGGCCCCCCTACCCCCAATCCCGTCTCCCCCAGGACTTTTGTGTTTGCTTCCCTTTGTCAAAAATGCAGGCTCCTTTCCCAGTCAGTCTTCGCTCAGGTATCTGAGGGATATCTGAATGTCGTGAAAGCAGGATCTCCTCCTTTTGTTCATAAATGCATTCTTGGTGCTTAGAACAGGGCCTGGCCATAGATAACAAGGTACATAGAAAGGAAGGCATTTTATATGAAATTTAAATATTGCCCATTTGGTTCTCATCAGAACCGCCTGGCTTTCCCTGGTGAACAGCAAACAAGAGGTTTGAAATATGGGAAGTAAAGCTGCTCTAGGCTTTTACTGACAAGTAATTTTCTTCTTTTCCCCTAGCGTCCTCCACGAGCCCTCCCACCTGTGCCAAGGTAAAAGCACAGGGATTTTACTATGGGGTTCTAAACGTGTACAATGAACCAAGGGAAAAATTGACCACCATTTGCAAATCCATCATAATTCAGAAAAGGTTTCTTGATGTTTTTAAGAAAAGGCTTCTTAACAGTTTAAAGGTGAACAATTCCTGAATCATTGGGATAACGGTTACAATGAAGTGTTCTGTTTCAAAGCCTGACTTCGAACATGGGAGGATAATGGATCTCTTCTGAATGTTTTAGGTTTTTGTGTAGTAGAATCCTGGCTGCGTTCTGTTTGCTAGAATTGTTTCCTCAGAGTTAAAGCTGATTTTAATCAGTGACTGGGACTTTAGGAAGAATAAGAGTTCTTAATCTGTCTAATCCACTTTATTAATAGATAGAAGGGAGAGTGTATATGTAGATTCAGAAAATATTGGGGTTATTTTATTAGCGGGTTTACTGGCTTGTTATTTGTAAATAAGCTAGTTTGTAAATGAGCAAACTGTGTGTGAAAACTAATTCTGTTTTAAATTTGTAATGATTTAAGTCGGTTTTCAGTTTGACAATATTGTAGATTTCTAATTAATGGAGTTTCTTTTTTTTTTGTCTTTGTCTTGATTAAATTTGGTCGGTGTCATGTAAAGTAATATTCAAGGTGAGTTCACTATTAATGTAAAATTTTCTAAATATGGTATTAAATATTCAGAAGTTTAATTTATTGATGTTTCTCTTAAAGTTGAATCTGGGTGGTAAAATTTATAATAATACAGCATCTTTATCATAATAATCTGTGGCTGCCATTTTTAAATGATGGTTGAGAAATAACACTAGTAATATGGTTGATACTTGACCTTACAAACATAAAAGCATTCATTCCTGTATCGAGTCACCCGGATCAAAACCCCTGGCTAGTTATCGTTCTGTATTAGGGACTGCATCTTACTGTGTCTCATTTAGTCAGGATAGACTGGGCTATGCCACACAACCCCAAAATCTCAGTGACTTAATATCATATAAGGTTATATCTGGTTAACGCAAAATCTGTTGTGGCAATGATTCAGGGTATTTGCCTCTCATCGCCTCTTCACTAGTGAGGCAGTGATGCAGGCCACTTCCGCCCATCTCAATGTGAGGTCTCCTCGGTTGTCAGGGGAAGAGAGAGCTGGAGGGCTTCTCACTGGCTCTTTCCGTGTTCTGGCCTCCAGATGACACAGATCACTTCTCTCATCATAGCCTATGCTCCAGAACCAATCACAGGTCCAGGGTGGGGATCACATGGATACTTGGTGAGCACACTTCCTGTGTCACTGTTTCTGCCATCACTGACCAGCAGGGAGCTCTTAGTGCCGCGCCGTGGGCTCTCTTTGACTTTGTCAATGTCTTACCTTCTTTCCCTTCCTGTGTAGGTGTAGGCTGGAAGAGAGGGAAAGGTCTTCCCTATTAAAAGTTCCCTTTTGCAAACACTGTCCCCTGCACAGAATTTTAGGCAGCCTTTCCTTTTCTTTGTTTGTGTTACAGATGATGTTCCCCTTAGTCATCCCAAGAAAAAGAAGCCGAGGACAAAAACAGGGCTAGGTAAGAAGTTGCTCTCTGTGGTGTGGACCTCAGGTTTTCCCAGGCTTCAGGCATGAGAAACATGGATCAGGGAGAGACAAGGTCCCAGCAGTGCCAAGCCACTGCTGTGTTCGGGATAGAGCCACGGCCACCTGGAAGCAGCGGGACTCCTGGTGGCAGGGAGGGACAGGCAGTGAGCAGCCTGAAGGGTGCCTAGGAGGATTCATAAAAGAAAGGATTGTGCCACCAACACTCTTACTTCCACTACATTCTTGGACTCTTGGGGGTCTTTTATCCTCATGATAACATGAGTTATCTTAAGCTATAATTGGTTCCAGACTCTTGAATAGGTTACTGGGTTTAGAGACATAGGATTCTTGGATCTCTCCTTTTAAATACTTAAAAATATTTATTTATTTATTTATTTATTTATTTATTTATTTATTTCAGTGAGGTAGGGAGAAGGGGAGAGAGATGGAAACATCAATGATGAGAGAGAATCATTGATCGGCTGCCTCCTGCATGCCCCCAATTGGGGATTGAGCCTACAACCCGGGCATGTGCCCTGGACTGGAATCGAACCCAGGACCTTTCAGTCCACAGGCCGATGCCCTATCCACTGAGCCAAACTTAAAATTCGAAGTTACAAGTGAGGAGAAAGGAAATCAAGATTGGTTCTGTAGGAGAAGGGGTTATTACATCGGAAACATTCCAGTTCCCTCTTTTCCCATCTTTTTACGACTCCGTGGTCTCTATTCAAGTTATCCCGTTTTTGTTTTTTTTTACTCTATTTCTGTAGCAAGTGCTTCTTTGGAAGGTCTTGTTCATAGGTCACCTGAGAGCAGTGAGTCACCAACTAAAGAACTGACAGAGCATCCAAAAGCTCCTGTTCAAAGAAGACAGAAAACAAGGGTACCTCTTGGTATGTAAGAGCAGCCAGGTTAGATGGTGATTTTGGGTGTATGAGTAAAAACCTGAATTCTCCTCCCACCCCGACTCCCTCTTCTCCCATATCCCTTTATTTTTCTTGCTTGCTTAAATTTTTTATCACTAGAGTTGCTCTAATGGGTTAAGTCAAGAACACTTTAGAAGATCTCTTGATACTATGTGTGTAGATTATGAGGGAAGTGGTGCAAATTCAGGACTAAAAAAAGTTTAGATTTTGATGTGTAGAAGAATTTAGTATATAATGAAACTGATATTTAAGATTAGTTGGGAAAGGATAGATTCTCTATTGACAATAGAATAAAGCAACAGCTAACACTGAGTTTCTTAAAATATATTTTATTGATTTTTTACAAAGAGAAAGGGAGAAGGATAGAGAGTTAGAAACATTGATGAGAGAGAAACATTGATCAGCTGCCTCCTGGACACCCCCTAGTGGGGATGTGCTTGCAACCAAGGTACATGCCCTTGACTGGAATCGAACCTGGGACCTTTCCATCCGCAGGCCGACACTCTATCCACTGAGCCAAACCAGTTAGGGCCATTAATTGAGTTTTTCTGTGTCTCAGGGACTGTTCACAAGGTAGATAAGATGATATAATTTATTTTGCCTATCAAGTTGGCAAAGCTTTTAAAAATTTATAAAATACGAAAGTGTTGATGAGAAAAGGGTACACCCATACACTGCTGCTAGGAGTGTAAAATGGTATAACCTGTTCAAATGTATAGGAGTAGAAGTAACTACAACAGCTACAGTAATTAAAGGAGGTCAACTGAAATATTATGCATAAGAGCAGAAACTGGTAATATCAAATATTTAACAATGTGGTAAAACCCAGATAAAACATGTTACCCATTTGATAGAAACCAAGTACTCATTAACAGGATTGTTTTGGTGATATTGTGGTGTGGAAAACCGCCAGTAATATATTGTTGAGTCAAAAGGCAAAGGTTGTAAAATAGGATGTATCAGAGGATCCCATTATGTAAAATATGTTGTATTAATTTTTAGGACTGCCTTCACAGATTGCCACAAACTGAGTGACTTGAAATTTAGTCTCAGACGAACCAGGAGACTAGAAGCTCAGGAGTGAGGTGTGCGCGGGGCCACGCCCCCTCCGCAGGCTCTAGGAAAGAGCCCACCTTTCCTCTTCCCGCTTCTGGTGGTCTTAGCCGTCCTTGGCTTATGACAGCATAATGTCATTCTCCGCCTGTCTTCACATTCCTCTGAGTGTGTCACTGCTGGGTTACATCATTTCCCCCCTATTTTTGGCATTGCAACGTCAAACATTTTGTTGTGTTTAGAGATATAAAAATTTTTTATTCAAATGCAAAACAGTGTTACCCAATTAAAAATTTTAAGGTGCTCTTGTATTACAAAAGTCTTGTACATTACTTTTCTTTTTACATTATAGTAATTAAAATTTTTAACCCCCCCCCCCCCCAGAATTGGAGACTGCTTTCACTCAGAAGACATCTAGTCCACCTTTATTACGGAATGAAAATGGTATCGATGTGGAGCCAGCTGAGGAGCCCATTATTAAAAAACCTCGAAGGAAGACAAAGTAAGAATTTATTTGTTCTTCTAAATATCCTTCAGGGACACTCTGATGCTTAATTTGGAACTTCCAAGTGATAGCTTCTGATGAAGTCTGATAAATACTAGTATATCTCTAGGATAAGTAGTATTACAAAGATATCAGTTAAACCAATTTAATGACAAATTTGAAAAGTGTAGACCACTGAGAAAAGTAAAGTACTGTACTTGAATAAAAATTCTTAGGAGCTGTCTCTAAAAAAGAAACACAAGTAGAAGATTTTATATAAGTAACAAAAAATTACATATTCAAGATATTAAAAATGAAAGGTAATATTAATAAAATAGGCTATTGTAATTTATTTTCTCATTTTATTAAAATTCAAATGATCATTACTTCAGCAATAAATAATAATGTGTAATTTAGCATAGGATTCAGAGTTAGATAAAATAGAAAGACATACTTTAAAGAAGTACCCTGAAGTTATATAACACTATTATTTGTATTTAGACATGACCCTTTAAATAGTAATCAATCCTATATAATTAAAGGGTAATATACAAATTGACCCTAATGGCAGAATGACCAGAACAACTAATGGACCAGTCACTATGAGGTGTACTGACTACCTCTTGGTCCCTTTCCATGAGCTGGTGAGCGGGCAGGAACGGCCAACTACTCGGTTCCTTCTCCTGGCCGTCAGGCACCAGTCACCAGATGGCAAATAGGGAACCCAGGGTGGGTGGTGATGGGGTTGGGGCCAGCTGTGGGCAGCTGAGGACGATAGCCCTGATCAAAGGACAGGCCTAGGAACCATACTCAGGCACAAATTTCATGCTTTGGCCTCTAGTGTCGATATAAGACGATGTAATTTTAAGTCTGGAAAGAATCTTACAACCTAGTTCAGCCACTTCCTTGTCCAGAGGATAAAACTGAGGCCTACATAGCAGTTAATAACTGATCTGTTTGAGTAAAATCCAAATTTCTCTGCTCAAAGTCCAGGGTTCTTTTCATTCTACTCACAGGTACATCCTTGTGTGGGTCTGTAAAAATTCAGTAAGCACCCGGTTTCTTCCTTTCTCCCTGACTCCAGGAAGGCCCGGCTAGCGGAACTGCAGTATGCCAATGAGCTTGGCGTGGAAGACGAAGACATAATTACTGAAGAGCAAAGGAGTCCAGAACAACAGTCCATATTCACTGCGCCCACCGGCATTAGCCAGCCTGTAGACAAAGTGTTTGTGGAAAAAAGCCGTAAGTAGTTCCTTGTTTTGGAATATTTCTTTTCTGTCATCACAGAGCATGTGCCATGCTACATACCCTGGGGTCTTTCCCTAAGAAATGTAAAGGGTTTTCAAATATCGGTGTACCTTTATAGTGTTGACGTTTAAAGGTTAGTACTTCTAAAATCTCTAAATTAGAATATATTAGACGTTGTCATCTTAAAGGTTTCTAGACTTTTTTCTTAGTTGGAAGCTCCTTATTGTATTTTACTAAACACTAGAGGCCCGATGCACAAAGATTTGTGCAGGAACAGGCCTTCCTTCCCCTGGCTGCTGGCACTGCCTTTGCTTCGGCCAGAGCCACCTTTCCACCTCTTGCTTTGTCGCGTCAATTTGCATATTTTCTCCTTATTGGCTGTGGGCGCTGCCATCTTTGTCACAGAGTTATGGTTAATTTGCATATTCCAATCTTTGTTAGATAGGATAGTCAATTTCCCAAACTGTTACGTCAGCATCTATTTTGGTTTGAGAAGGAAGCACATGGACACACTCCTTCTACGGGTCTTTAAGGGAGGAATAATTTTTTAAAAAAACTCAGCAGGTTCTTGGATAATTGTGTAATGTGTTCTTAGGGCGATTCCAGGCCACCAACCGCTCAGAGCTGATAAAGACCACAGAGAACATAGACGTGTCGATGGACACAAAGCCCTCCTGGACGACCAGGGACGTGGCCCTTTCAGTGCACCGGACTTTTAGGTGGCTGCCTTTGTTGGACTTTTCTTAATGCAAATATTCTATTTTTTTTTTTAAGTGTCAATTGTTCAACACTGTTAAATAAGAAAATGTTTGATTTTACTTTCTATGAAATGTTGAATTTTATTCTTGTATATGAGTAGATTTTAAAAATACATTAGCCTTTCACTTTAGTAATTCATGTGTAATAATTAAGCCCTTTTCCATTCAGGATGGTGGGCCTGTTTTCTCATGGCTTCTTGGCTGGCTGTGCTGTGTGGAATATTATTGTGATATATGTTCTAGCAGGAGATCAGCTTTCTAACCTCTCGAACCTTCTGCAACAATACAAGACGTTAGCATATCCATTCCAGAGTCTTCTCTACTTGCTTTTGGCTCTCAGTACAGTTTCAGCTTTTGACAGGTAAGGCTGTTGTGACTATAAATCCTTCTAACTTTTCTTCAGGGGGAAATGTTGAGAAAAATGTATCACGGACTGTGACAATCTTCAAAATAGAATTGTTTTGACTTTTTTTTAGGCCAGTCTGTTTTTGTTATTTGTGGTAGGGAGTTAGAGGTGGTGGGAATACTGTGGCGGGGTGAGGCAGAAGCGGGGAGAAACAACACCCAAAATTCTTAGCTCATTTCAGCATCACTCTAAATCAAACACTTCTTTCAAATATAATCAGTTCATGATGAACCAAGAGACAGAGATAGAGAAAGTAAAGCAACAGGCAGACTGTCAAATTACAGTGGGGAGGGGAGGAAGATCTGGGGGAAATAATTGATCAAACGAAGGACTTGTATACATGCATATAAGTACAACCAATGTTCATAAAACTCTGGGGAGGGAGGGGATGGGTGGGAGGGAGGGAGGGGGGTAAAAAAAATCAATAAAATATCAAATATAATCAGTTCAAAAGAGTGCAAAATATAATCTTCCAAATACTTTTAATCAGATATAGAAGAGAGTCTGGATATTTTATCAGTATACTGGGGTTACTATAGCAAAGTACAGAGAACTGGGTGGCTTAAAAGAACAGGAATTGATCCTCTCACAGTTCTGGTAGCTAGGAGTCTGAACTCAAAGTGTCAGCAAGGTTGGCCCGTTTTGGCGAGCTCCAAGAAAGCCTGTTCCATGCCTCCTCTAGCTTCCGGTGTTGCTGACCTCCTGGGGCTCAGTGGCTCGTAGACTCAGCACTGCAGCCTCTGCCTCTGTTGTCACATGGCAGTCTTTCTGAGTGTCTCTGTGCCTGTATCTCTTCTTTTAAGGTCACCAGTCACACTGGATTCCAGTCCATTCTAATGGCCTCATCTTAACTTGATCATGGCTGCAAAGGCCCCCTTTCCAAATAAGCTGTGACTACTTCGGGCTTAAAAGAGACAATAAATGTGGCAGCATTCGAACAGAGAGGGGAAAATGCTAGTCACGTTTTGTAAGGTTATGGTTGCCCTGTGACAAGAGACCTCTGTATTTTCTAGGATTGACTTTGCCAAAATATCAGTAGCAATCCGAAATTTTCTTGCCCTGGATCCAACAGCTTTTGCATCTTTCTGTGAGTAAATAGTTTAATTTGATAACTGTGTAATGCTTGAGTGACATTGTAATTGTGAACAAGGAAAAGTTTAATTTTATTTTTTGAAACATGTTATATTATTGCTAGCTATAAGCATTACTTATAGATGTTTACTAGAATTTGTAATTAAAAAAACATGGTAACCATAATTTTGATAATACTATTTTTCAATCGAAGTTGAGCTTAGTAACTTTTAAGAGTTTATTTTGTTCTTATTAAGTATTATCTAACTTTTGTATTTCTACTTGACATTAAACAGATTGAGCTAGCATAGCATTTCAGTAACAATGGCATAGCATTTCAGTAACAAATGATATTTTTTATCTTTGGATAATTTGGGATACATTTTGTTCTGTTAAGAAAATATTAATGAAACTAGTGTTAGGACCTTGAGTCAGTCATTTAATTTATTAAAAGATCTTCTAAAAAAAAAAAAAAAAAAGATCTTCTAGATTGTAGTCATTTCTAAAGATGAAATAGTGAGCATGGCAAAAGTACCTGTGTTCTTGAAAAATAATCCAGCCTATTGAAATTGATCAAATGACTTTCTTTTATATTGTCATTCCCTAAAGTAGAGATTACTTTTTGACCTTAAAATAATCTATAAATTAAAAATAAACTTGACTGTTAAAAACACAAACTTAATTTATCTTTTCCCCAGTGTACGTTGCTGCTCTTACCCTCTCTCTGAGCCAGCAAATGACAAGTGACAGGATCCACCTTTACACACCTTCTTCTGTTAACGGCAGCCTCTGGTAAGGTTCAAACAGCATTAGTAGTTGTTGATGGTAATAACAGCAACAATGGGAGTAATGGCACTGTTCTAATCCTTCCACTCTTTCATGTGTTTTTATCTATTAATAAAGGCCCTGTTTTTATCTTCCAAATTGTGGCAAGAAAATGCCTATTAAATTTTTTAATGGGTAATTATTGTTATAAACACCTGCATTTTTTAATGAAATGTCCTCTTTTTATGATCTGTTTTAAATCTCTTAAGTTATGGTTTTAAAATATATCATTTTTTATTATATAAAAAATGGTGGAAGAGCCTGGCACCCTCACCCCCAATCTGAGCCTAATACATCAGAATAGTGATGGGAGGGAGAGCGGGGACCGAGTGGGAAAACCAAGCAATGGGGAGATAGAGCAGACTAGGGCGCACCACCCTCCTCGGGACTGGGGCTAACCCTGGAGCTAACAGGACAACTGAGATTTTTGTTCACATAACTTAGAGTGGGGGGTCTTTTTTGAGAGAGTGGCCAGAGGCATGAGGTAAAGCGAGAAAGGAAGGACATCTCATGAAGAGTAAGTAACACCACAGTATCTGGAAGGGAAACTTAGAAAAAAAATTGGCAACACTGAATTTCCATTTCTATCACTGTACAAAACAGATGTGTTTAAAATTCAATAACCTTTTTACGTTTGTTTTCATGATACATATTTATGAGATCTATATATATGGTTGTATTTTATAGGGTATCATGTTTTATTTCACGCTTTCCTTGCTATTCCTGCAGATGAGGAATAAAAAAGATATATTTAGATACATGAACAAAAATGAAGACATTAATAATGAGTATTTCTGTATCTTTAGGGCAGCAGGAAATGAGAAACAGGTTCTCCAACCATGGATCCTGGTGAATCTGGTGTTGGCCATTCTGGTTGGACTGTCTTGGCTTTTCCTGTCGTATAGGCCAGGCATGGATCTTAGTGAAGGTATTAAAGAGCAAATAGTATATGCATATCATGGAATCTTCTATAATGATCTTAGAAATCTCTCTTGGCTATAGCTTATGATAACTGTGGTAACAAAGATATTTAAAGTAAAATAACATAAGAAGAGTGACAATAAAGTGGTGGAACAATACTAAGAGAAGCAGAAAGGAGCGTCTAGGAGAGCTGAGGTCTGGAAGTGCTGAATGAGGCCCTCTGTGCCCGGGTGCATATTTAGAGGGTTTTTGGTGTTTTTAACCCTTCAAGTGTTTTATAGAAAGTCTCTGCTCTTCGTTTCTCCTACTCTCCTTACAATCAAAGTATCTCTTTATTTTTATTACAGTTTTACTAATATTATTTTATCAATATTACTTCAGTATTATTTTGTATTAGTTGCAGGCATACAGCCCAGTGTTCAGACAGTCATACACTTTACAAGGTCAAAATATCTCTTAAATAGGAAATAAATCATGCTTCGTCTATGCAGCCTCTGTCAGATGCAAATTAAAGTGAATTATTCTTGCCTCTTCCTCTGTGTTGAACAAATTCTTAACCTTTCATTGTCTAACACAGTGTTGACTAACCTGACCCTTGTGTGCCCCGTGGGAAGCGAGATTTACTCATCTCTAGTTCTCAGACTCCATTGGGACCCCTGGAGGAGAGGAGTCTTTTTGGCAAACTGCTGGTCCTCTGGCACTCATTTACATGTTTGTAGTGTAAGGTGTATTTCATCACTCTTGAACCTCTGTGATATTTTCTGGACTTTGGTTATTATTATGTTCTTGATTGTTGAACATCCTGAGTATTTAGCTGCAATTTGGTCAACTAATTACAAACTGTCTCAGAAGTGTTAGAATTGAGAATCTTTCCAACATTCCCATTTGTAAAAACCAAGACAAAAAATGTAATCTTGGGATTTTCATTGATGAATGTACCTTTTTGTATCATCATTCTTATGTGGCTTCGGTAAATATCCTGTTGCTTTATTTCTTTTGATATATGTAAAGTATTTTTAAAAAAATTTTCTAAGGCAGTGGTCGGCAAACTCATTAGTCAACAGAGCCAAATATCAACAGTACAATGATTGAAATTTCTTTTGAGAGCCAAATTTTTTAAACTTAAACTATATAGGTAGGTACATTGTTATTAACTTAATTAGCGTACTCCTAAGCTGGCCTTTGCTAAAAACGCAAGGGGCCAAAGAGGCTCGCAAGCCCCAGTTTGCCGACCACTGTTCTAAGGGTTTTATATATTTTGCTATTTTCTTTCACTCAGTATAGTTTTTAAGTCAGTAGATGGGTGGATAAAAACAGCTATGGTACATTTACACAATGGAACACTAATCAGCCATAAGAAGGAATAAAAATTTATCCTATAAAACACGTGGACCTGGAGAGCATTATGCTAAGGGAAATAACCCAGTCAGAAAAAGACAAGTACCATATGATTTCACTCATTTGTGGAATTTAATGAACAGACTTACTTAAAAAGCAAAATCAAGACAGACCTACACATAGAGAGCAGGCAGACAACTCTAATGTGGGGGAGAGGGTGGGTTGGGGAGTGGTGGTGGAGGGATGGAGCAAAAAAGAAAGAAGAGAAAAAAACTCAGGGGCACAGGTGGTAGAAGGGAAGAAGTGGAAGAGGGTAAATGTGGTAGGGGGTAAATGGTGATGGGAAAAAACCCTCACTCATTTTTACTAGACGTTATAATTCAAATAAAGTAATCTGAAGAAAAAAAGATTTTTTTTATATAATTACATCAGAAGACTGTATTCTAAATATTTCTTGTTATTTTAATAAATCACATATTCAGTATATGCTAAGTAATAGTTGCAGTGTAGAAAAGTCAACTAATATCTTTCTACACTGTAGTTGCGATTGAAGTTACATCTAGCAAGCTTGTGCAGTATTCAAACTAAATAGCAAAGTGTGTGTTTCTAAATATTTGCAGAATCCTGCTCTCTCTTAGGGTCATGTGAATTATGTAACATTTTTATCATGTGGATAAAAAAAATCACTATAAAGTAGGGATAATAACACCTCACTTACAGAGTTACTATAGTAACTAAATGGGATAGCACATTTAAGATATCCTGGCAAGCACCTCGTATTAGTTCCAGGCCCGTTCTCTACATCTGCTCCCAACATTTTAAGTCATGATCACTTACAGAATTAGACATTTCAGTTGTTTAATGATCCTGGGTTCCCCAGATGACTTACATTTCCTGGTGAGCATTATTATATTATCTCCATTTTAGATGTTTTATTTTTCAGGGACTAGCAATATATTTAAAACTTGGAAATTTTTACTTTTTGGAAAATTTTAAATGCAAAACTTTTACCCTTGTCATTAGCTCATCTTTTAAATCAGATTTCACTATCAAGAATTCTTCTTGTACTTGAAGGCTTTCTGTTGTTTATTTTATGTCTATACGTAAAAGGATTGTTTATAACTAAACTGAAAAACTTGCTGAGGTCCTGGGAAATCATTTTGAGTATGTTCTGTTCGATTTCTCTCCCAGAGTTGATGTTCTCCTCTGAGGTGGAAGAATATCCTGATAAAGGAATCAATGCCTCTTCCTAAGCCTGCTCACCTTCAGAGGAAAATGGCCCAGTGCTTAGAAGTCTTCCCATCCTTGTTTTTAAATGTATTTTTATAAGATATGCACAGGTGTATTTTGAAATTATTTTTTATATTATGTAATACTGAAAAAAATCTCAAGATTATGGAATTGTTAAAATTGTACCTGCAATTTATACCCAATCGTCATTATCTTAATGACAAAAAGGAGGTAATAAGCTAGAAACAAGTAGGTAAAAGTGTTTATTTCCTGTTCTGTCAAATTGGCATTTATAATCATTATCTTAAAGAGCACGAGTAACTTCACTGTTACAAAAGCTATATCAGGTTTAAACATAAATTTAGGGAATGGGCAAGAAGGGAAATAAAGACCTTTATTATTTATTTTTGATATCTCCTTTCTAGGTTCATTGAAATATGAAATTTGTCTTTTTTTTTTTAAGTGACTTAGTGACTGTGTATCATGTAATAAGTATAATGTAATGTAATTTAGCTTGAAAGATGTTTTACTTCATGACTAATAAAAAGAAAATATATTTTTTTGTTTGAAAAATTTTATAACTGAAAAATTTACTTCTTTTTAAAACCGATATCTGTGGTTCCCAGAGCTGGTTGCACATCAAAATCATTTAGAAAGCTTTAAAAAATAATTAGGAAAAAAAAAAAAAAAAAAGATGTAGCAAAAAAGAAGCAGAGCAGGCCAGATGCTCAGAGGCCAGTGAGCTTGCTGAGCTAACACTCTTACTTTTGCAAAACCCTTTCCGCTGCCTCTGTTTTGGCATGACGAGAAGAATGAGTAGAAATTCACTGAATCTATTCTCGAGGGATTTTTGGCTCTCGAAATCCTACTCCTGGGTGGCCTGCACTGGAACAGGTCTCTTCAGAGCAATGGCGCCTTAACTGGTGAAACCCTGGATAAGGCTCCATGGGGCAAGGTGTCGCAAAGCCTCTGGGGCACAGCAACAAAACGAGTGGGCCAGCCCTCCTTAGCAAACAGCTGAATGTTGTAGAACAGAAGAGGATTGATCAATTGATAATAGAAATGGGTGCTCCTAGAATAGGTCTAAATGTGGTGTAGGCATCATAATAGGAGAGTTTGCCGTCTCTGAGGCTGGAGTTGCTGAAAAGGGATTCTCCCTTTTCACAGAACTGTGAATGCGCTGGCATCCTGCCAGTCCCAGCTTTCACTGCCAGCAAATTCAGGGAAGCCACGATCATTTGAGCTGAGGCTCACCGCATCTAAACAACGAATGTTATGAAGGATAAGTATGAGAAAACCAATGTGGGGGATTGTGCCCTGTCTGGGAATGGAACTGGTGACCTCTTGGTTCCTGGATCAACACTCAACCACTTGAAGCACACTGGCCAGATCTATTTCTTTTTAAATTAACAATTAGTTGCAATAGGGTGAATCCACTAATGAGCTATATCGAGTGGCAACTTGGAGACAGACATTTAGGGTATGTATATGGGGTCTTATGGCTTACCTGGTATTGGTCCTTGAATAAGAGAAAAATAGGTTCCAAATAGAATAGCAATTAAGGATTGTGGAGGCTCTTGGTTTTCGCATTAAATAATTCCAATTTACCGTAGCCCCAGTTGATTTGGATCAGTGGATAGAACATCAGCCTGTGGACTGAAGGGTCTCAGGTTCAATTCCTGTCAAGTGCACATGCCCAGGCTGATCCCCAGTGCGGGGCATGCAGGAGGCAGTCAATGATTTTTTCCCTCATCATTAATCTATTTCTCCCTCTCCCTTCCTTTCTGAAATCAATAAAAATGTATTTTTTAAAATTCCAATTTATGGCCAATAAAGAAGCTCTGGCGTTCCTGGTTTTGTTTGTTCAAAAAGCAGACGGTATTTTTAAGTGTTAAAGGTGAAATCGTGGGAAGGATGGATGACAGCGGGCTGGGAGACCCATGCATACACCATGGTGGTTGTGTGAGATGGCCTACACTAGGTGCCATAAAGGGGAGGAGTAGGCTTCAAATATTTGGGCTTAGAATTCAAACGTGTCTGGCGTTTTAAGCTTTTGTGGGGAGAACACTACCAGGTTCAAATGAGACTGGGACGCACAGGAGGCCTGGGAGGGAAGATGCACGTCAACGCGCTGTGCTATGTCTGTGGGGCAAACTGACTGTCGAGCCACATGCGGCTCTTTGGCCCCTTGAGTGTGGCTCTTCCACAAAATACTACGGCCTGGGCGAGTCTATTTTGAAGAAGCTTCCATCCGAGTTTGCCGACCAGTGGTCTAGGCTGTTGGAAATAGCGCATCTGGAACGTGGGGTAAGGCAGTGATGGACGCTAAGTCTCCTGAAGGACCGTTGCAGGGAGGAGGGCTTCGGGGAGGACAGGGGCAGACGGGACGCACTCCAGTGTCGGACACTGGTCACGTGCCGAGGAGCCTGCTGCCAGCCGCAGGGCGGGCTCCTTCTCAGGGCGCCGGGCACGGCCTGTCCCTCCAGGCTCACAAGGCTGCGGGCCCCCAAAGCCAGCCCCGGGCGAGGCCCGCCTAAACGTGCGGCCACGCAGTGTTGTACGCGTGTGCGCCTGCGCGTGTGCGTGCGCGTGTGCGCCTGCGCGTGAGCGGGCGGAAAGCGCGGGAAAAGCGGCGGGAGGGCTGCGCCTGCGCAGTGGCAGGCAGTCGGTTAGGCGCAGACCCGCCCTGGGAGGATGGACGGATGGATTTCCCCAACAGATGCCTGAGGTTTCCAACGCAGCCAGCCGCAGCCGAGAACCACGCGGGCGGGTCCACTCCCTGTTCAGAGCCCCCGTGCTTCAGAGGAGCCCCCAAGCTCCCTGGAAACGCGCCCATCAGAGGGTCTGGGTGTTCCCCAGGCCGTCACTTCCAGGAGTAAGGCAAGACCATTAATCTCTCCAAGGACCAGGCCAAGAGGGCCCTGGGCACTGGCAGGCCAACGTGAGTGTCTCCCCCGCCTCTCCGACCCCCCCCCCCCAACACCCCTCCCAACACTCCCCCAACCTCGACCCCCACCTCCCCCCGCCCCCTGCGGAGCCTGCCCCTACCCCCACCCCGAGGGTAAGGAAGGCAAAGGGACCAGGGCCTGCAGCTGTGGGGAGGGAGACCGGCCCCAAATGGAAGGCGGTCCTACCTGAGAAAGAGTTTACTTGTGGGGTCCTGGCAGTTACTTCACCTGGCAGAGCCTCGTTTTATTACTGTTCACGGAATACACGGATGACACCTGCCTCGCTTACCGGGCTGTCTGAGCAGCCACAGGAGGTAAGGATATAAAGGGCGTAACAGGGCAGAGCACAACGCAGAGTCAGTCAGCGTTAGCCTTATCCTCCTCCTCATTGGGATTTCATGTAGGTGGTTAAAGGGCTAGACTGAGATATGTCCATGTTCAGGTCTGTCATACTAATGTTATTTATTAATGTTGTCATTTATATATAGTGAACTAAAGAGCTTTTTCAAGCACCCACGTCTGTAAAGTATTTTTAAATAAAGTTTCTTTTGTTGTAGTTGAAAAAAAATAAAGGGCTAGACTGCAGAAAACTTTAGTTTTCAATTCCCGTGGTTCTTTTCTTTTTCCAAATAAATGTCCTAACATCATTTATTTAAAACAACAACAACACATATTTGCCCTTAGGACTGGAGATGTCACCTGTAGACTATGTTACCATATGTAGTAGTATTTGGGTCCCCCTTCCCCCAGAATTTCTATTCTATTCCACCACTCTCTTTATCAACTTCTGTATATTACATCAATATAACAATATATATATAATATAAAGTGTGTCTTGCTTCTTTATGCTTTTACACTTGTTTATTCTATCTAGGCTCATCTCCCTCTCGTTCTTTTTTTTTTTTTTTTTTAATATAGTCTATTGATATTTTACAGAGAGGAGGAAGGGAGAGAGATAGGGAGCTAGAAACGTCGATGAGAGAGAAACATCGACCAGTTGCTTCTTGCACATCCCCCACCGGGGATGTGCCTGTAACCAATGTACATGCCCTTGACCGGAATCAAACCTGGGACCTTTCAGTCTGCAGACCGACACTCTACCACTGAGCCAAACCGGTTTCGGCTCCCTCTAGTTCTTACTTTTTTGTTTCTTCAAATCCACTTGAAGTATCATAATCTCCTTTCTGAATAACCTCTCCGCACCCCACTTATTTGCCCTGTGTTTCTGGGATAGTTTGTAGGCATTCTGAATAGGGCTTAGTACTGGAATCTGACCCTCGCCAACTCTTGTTATTACTTGTCTTGTTTAATTGGGAATGAAGGAAGTAAAAGTGTCACTTTTTATAGATGACACAATCCTTTATATAGAAAACTCTAAAGACTCCACCAACCATTAGAAACAATAAACAAATATAGTAAAGTTGCAGAATACAAAATCAATGTACTAAAATCTGCATTTCTATACTAACAGTAAAATTTCAAAAAAAATTCCTTTTGCAATTACAGCAAAAATAAAATAAAATAAAAATAAAATAAAATAAAATTCCTAGGAAGAAACTTAGCTAAGGATGTGAAGGACCGATATTCTGGAAACTACAAAGCAGTATTAAAAGAGATTGAAAAGACACAATGAAATGGAAAGATATTCCATGTTCATGGATTGGAAGAATCAAAATAGTTAAATGTCCATATTACCCAAAGTAATATATAGACAATGCAATCCCCATCAAAATCTCAATGTCATGTATATAAGCAAGTAATTTTTGACAAAGGCGCCGAAAACATACACTGGAACTAAGAAAACCTCTTCAATAAATGGTGCTGGGAAAACTGGAAAACCACATGCAAAATAATAACACTAGACTACTGTTTGCCCTCATGTACATAAGTTAATCCAAAATGGATCAAAGACTTAAATATAAGATCTGAAAGAATAAATCACATAGAAGAAAGCATAAGTACTAAATTTATGGACCTTGGTGTTAGAGAAGATTTTATGAATTTGATCCCAAAGCCAATGGAGGTAAAGGCAAAAATAAATGATTGGACTATATCAAACAAAATCTTCACAGCAC